TCTGCCTAAGAGCTCAGCTCAGTCTCCCCTCGGGCAGGTTCAAGCCATTCCCCTTGGCCTGGCCCTACAGGCCCTTGTCCCAAGCCCCTCTCCAGGTTTCCTGCAGCCCCTTTAGGCACTGGAGCTGCTCTAAGGTCTCCCCTTCAGGAGCCTTCTCTTCTCCAGGCTGCCCCAGCCCAGCTCTCTCAGCCTGGCTCCAGAGCAGAGCTGCTCCAGCCCTCACAGCAGCTCCATGGCCTCCTCTGGCCTCGCTCCAACAGCTCCACATCCCTCTTGTGCTGCTGCCCCAGAGCTGGACACTGAACTTCATCCTGCCCCATAATGCATTAAAACATCATGACTTATCACAGTTAACGTGGGTGAATGCTTCCACCTCTTATCTTGTACAGCAAAACCCTTCTCTCTGTGCTCTTCCCTCAGAAAGCTCTCCAGGAGAGAGTACCAGGCAGGCTCTGCAGTGTGTATTAATGGGAGCTGGTCAGGTTTGCTGGTTCCCTGTGGGAGCCACCAGTACTCTCTATGTCCAGAAGAACTTCCAGCCCTGATGCTGTGGGTTCTGGTTAATCACTTCTTCCCTTCCCTCTGCTTCAGAAAACTCTTGGATGCCTTTGCACGTAGATTGCAGCAATGGAATGACATCCAACAGCTCTGCGTTCCAAGGGAGGGAGGAGCATCCACTGCCCAGCTGAATAGGTTGTTCCAGAGTTTAATGACCCCAGTGCTAAGCTTGCATGCCTTTTCTGCTAGGGCTTTGTTTGGACCTGGATTTTAGCTGATAGATCTTGAGCTACAGAACGAGGCTGAGACCACTTTTTCATATCATAAAGTCACTTCTTTGCTGGCATCACCTTTCTTTCAGTAGTTCTGGGTGGACTTTGCAAACTGCCTTTTCTTGCCAAAAAGCTCCTGAATTGGTTGAGGTTTTTCTTCCTCTGCCGTTGCCCTGGTCAGGGCTGCATAGAACCCCATCCACAGCATCTCCCCCCCCACCTTTAGTCTCTAAGGATAACAGTGACTCCTTTTTTCCTTTCCCAGTTGAATACCAGAAATATTTTGGGCTAAAGGATGCTGTTTAGGTTCCCGTAATCACCCAGGTTGGAAAAGCCCTTTAAGCTCATCCAGCCCAACCACTTCCCAGCACTACCAAGGCCACCACTGCCATGGCACTGAGGCCTCGTCTCCACACTGTGTGAACCCTTGCAGGGCCGGTGCCTGCAGCCCTGCCCTGGGCAGCCTGTTCCAATGCCTGAGCACCCTCTGGGGCAGGAATTGGTCCTCAGCTCCATCTAAACCTGCCCTGGTGCAGCTTGAGGCCGGTTCCTCTTGTCCCATCCCTTGTTCCTTGGGAGCAGAGCCCAGCCCCTCCTGGCTCCATCCTCCTCTCAGGCACTTGGAGGCAGCCATCAGGTCCCCCCTGAGCCTTCTCTTCTCCATCTGAACCCCTCAGGTCCCTCAGCCCTTCCCCATCACACTTGGGCTCCAGGCCCTGCACCAGCTCCATTCCCTTCTCTGGCCCCGCTCCAGCCCCTCAATGTCTCTCTTGCAGTGAGGGGCCCAGAGCTGAGCACAGGATCCGAGGGGTGGCCTCACCAGCGCCCAGAATATAGGGAGAATGCTGCTGCAGCACTGACTGATGCTGCCCTGGACACACTTGTGTAGGGAGAGTTTTCTAAGGGTTTGAATTAACTCACTGGATTAAAACCCAGCACGTGCTTAATGAAACAAGGCTGAAATCTCAACTTGATCTGCTTCCTTTGGTTCTGACCCCCAAATTGCTCACCCACTTGTGTGCAGTCTGTGTTATAAGCAGCCAGTTGTTCTTGCCTTTGTATTACCTTGTGCTGCTGTTCCCTGCAGAGCTTCATTTTCCTCTTGAGGTCACTAATGCATTTCTTAAGATTAGTTTGAATTCTGATTCTGTCCTTGAAGCTGCTTGAAATCGCCCATAAAATAATACATTGTTTGGATTCAGGGGAAATAGAACCAACAACATGGGCTAGACCACGTGTGACAGAGCGGGATTCAAACTCTCCTGCGGAACCATGGTCAATAAATTGGTCCTTTTATTGGCAATGTTCTTTATCCTTATTTTTATGGCCCCCAGCACAAGAGGGACATGGAGCTGTTGGAGCGAGGCCAGAGGAGGCCCCAGAGCTGCTGCGAGGGCTGGAGCAGCTCTGCTCTGGAGCCAGGCTGAGAGAGCTGGGCTGGGGCAGCCTGGAGAAGAGAAGGCTCCTGAAGGGGAGACCTTAGAGCAGCTCCAGTGCCTAAAGGGGCTGCAGGAAAGCTGGAGAGGGGCTTGGGACAAGGGACTGTAGGGACAGGCCAGGGGGAATGGCTTGAACCTGCCCGAGGGGAGACTGAGATGAGCTCTTAGGCACAAGTGAGCTTTAAGGTCCGTTCCAACCCAAACCAGGTTGGGGTTCTGTGATTTTATTCATTTTTAAAGCCATGCACAGGGTTTATTAACACTCCTTTAGGGTGTTTGGAATAAAATCTAATGTGAAAATAAAACTCTCAGGGGTTTATGGGCTCAACTCTAAAGGCAAGTGGTGATTGTGGCTGAGTGGCTGTTCCTTGTGGCCCTGCTAAAGGAGGAGGAAAGGAGTAGCCGTTTCTTTCTGCAGGTTGGTATTTTCCAGCTCCATGATGTCATGTCCCTTCCTAAGGGGTTATGCTTACAGGGAATTCAGTTTGTTACTGTTAGGTCTGTCACAGAATCACAATCCCAAACTCATTTGGGTTGGAAGGGACCATAAAGCTCCTCCAGCTCCAACCCCTGCCACTGGAGCAGCTTGCTTCAAGCCCCTGTGTCCAACCTGGCCTTGAGCACTGCCAGGGATGGGGCAGCCACAGCTTCTCTGGGCACCCTGTGCCAGCGCCTCAGCACCCTCACAGGGAAGAGCTTCTGCCTAAGAGCTCATCATAATGTCATAGGTACAGTTATCCTGTGTCAGTACTCGGTGTGCTCACGCAGTGATGTGTGGCAACCCTTCAGCTGTGACCAGCCCAGGGGCTTGTTCTGTGCTGCTCTGTAAGTGCAATGTGATCAATTCATCATCCATAGATGACTTTGTGTGATTTCATTCCCAAGTGAAGCTCCAACCAGGACTTACAGCAGTAATGCTTCCACAGGAGAGCAGGCATCTGCATCCCCATCACTTCAGTGTGCAACAGATGGTACATGAATCCTAAGGTGATTCATCCAGCTATTTTTTGTAGGGATGGGGATCATTGCTGCCATTACAGGCTGGGTGGTGTGTGCGTGGAGGCTGGGAGAGGTGAGATGGTGTAAGCTCTGAAGAATGGCTCTTTTAAAGAGGGGACTATTTAAAGCCTGGAACCCACTGGTCAAGGTGTCTTTTTATGTAATCTCAACCTGTGAGTGTTTGAAGGGGATGGTCTTTGTCTTTTCCTTTGAATTATTTCCTTAGTGGGAATTGTGGCTTTCACTTCTGCCAGGGTTTATAAAGCAAGGGATGTTTTAAAGGAGAAATGGTGATGATTCAGTAGCCATGGTGGAATTAAACCTGTAAGTAGTTGGTATTAATGCAGACCTGAGCTGGTGCCTGTTGACAAATGATGTAAAGAAAACCTTGGTCTGTTTGGAGAAGAAGTATCATAGAGATGAAGCACACTGAGACGCTCTCCAAATGGTGTTTAAAGCAGGTATTTAAATATAAGCAAGCCAAGTAGCACCTTATTTTCCCCTTCTTCTTGTGATGTGGGTGCAGATGGGGCAGGGAAGCTCCAAGGGTATGAAATAGGTTAACTGAAGGGGCTGCAGGAGGGCTGGAGAGGGGCTTGGGACAAGGGCCTGTAGGGCCAGGCCAAGGGGAATGGCTTGAACCTGCCCGAGGGGAGACTGAGCTGAGCTCTTAGGCAGAAGCTCTTCCCTGTGAGGGTGCTGAGGCGCTGGCACAGGGTGCCCAGAGAAGCTGTGGCTGCCCCATCCCTGGCAGTGCTCAAGGCCAGGTTGGACACAGGGGCTTGGAGCAAGCTGCTCCAGTGGAAGGGGTCCCTGCCCAAGGCAGGGGTTGGAACTGAATGAGCTTTTTAAGGTCCTTTCCAACCCAAATCCCTCTGTGATGTAGTCAGTTTATGTAGCTCTTGATTGTGAAATGAGGGTTTTGACATGGTTCAAGGTAGTCTGGAATTCAAGCTGCCCACCCAGCTGCATCACAGCTACAGAGGAGCTGCAGCATCACAAATGGCTGCAGGAAAAAGGCTTCTCTGGTATCTCAGTGACTGTCAGCTTTGCCTGCACATGCTGCAGTGACACCTTCTGATTGCAGCACAAGTGACTCCCTAATGCTGAGCGGTCACTGAATGTAGAGCCACAAGCTGCAGCCAGCACCAGGGTGGAGAAGGGTGTTTTTGACAGCGTATGAACCAGCTTGTAGGTCCATATGCGTTCCAATGAATTCCTTGTCAAAGGAAAGGTGAATTCAATGGAGTGACAGGGGACACAGGAGTGATGGGCAGATGGTAAACAAGCCTCTTCACAACAATGCTCTTCAATCTTGTGACACTACAGCAGGGACTGCCACTTGTGTGACAGGTACAGACAGTGTGACATTGAGATGCACAGAGGTGTATTTTAAGCTGCCTTGGTTTAGGAGCCAGAGCTGTCTCGTTGTAGGGGTTCTCAGACCTAGTGCATCCATTCATTGATGGAATTAATGGAAAGCGTCAAATAACTTGTTTGAAACTGGAACTGTCAAATTATTTCAATTTTCCACTTGAATCATGAATGTTTGAGGGTAAAAGTGATGCTCGGGAATGATGCAGGAGCCAACCTTCAGATAAAAATACCCTTAACAGGGTCTTCACATCTGTGAAATCCAATAACTGCTATTTTGCTTGTAGGAAGTTAAATTTCACAGTGTGCCTCTGAGGGAGACAAAGTAAAACTCCTTCTGAAACTGTTTTTAAATCACTTGCTTCAAACATGCGTTGAAATTGCTCCTTCAATCTGTGTCTTTTCTTTCTTCTTTCAGTGGGCAAGACTTCCTTGATCACCAGGTTCATGTATGACAGCTTCGACAACACCTACCAGGTAAGTTGATCTATGTTACTGCCTTCTCTAAGGCCCTTCTGTTGCTGTGTCTTCCACTGAAGGAAGAATCCATTTGGTTGAAGTGGATAAGAGTTGGTACACTGACCAAATTCTTCACTGTGAAAGGCTTTAAACTTCATATTTTAACCTGTCAGAACAGCATCTTGCTGTTGGATGCTGCTCGTCTGCTGTGGTTTGAAAGCACAAGCTCTTAGTTACAGCCAGGTAATAGGAGTTGTTAAGTCTTTCAGGGTGTTTCCTTTCACCATTTGCCACCAGACCATCACAGATCTCATGTCTCTGGGGGGAAGATGTAACAGGCACCCAGCTCCTTTGAAAACAGAAGCAGGCTGAGCTGCAAGAGGTTCTGCAGTGGGTGAACAAGGGCTTGTGGAGCAGAAAGCAGTGGGTTGTGAGCCTGGGTATGCTTTAGGAGCTCTTTAGGATATTTTGTGCTGGCTGATGGAACAAAGACCACAGACCTGGTGGCTGTGTACATCCCCATCTTGTGGCTGCTTACTTATTGTTCATTATTGAAACCAGATTGGGTTGGCAAGCTTGAGGCTGAAGCAGTGCTTGTCTTTTATTCCAGTTGGCCCTGTAGACCCTTCACTGCTTTGTGCTTGGTGACAAGTCATAGAATCATAGAATCCCAGAGTGGTTTGGGTGGAAGGGAGCTTAAAGCTCATCCAGATCCAAGCCCCTGCCATGGGCAGGGACACCTTCCACTAGAGCCCCTGTGGAAGCCAAGCCCCTGTGTCCAACTTGGCCTTGAGCACTGCCAGGGATGGGGCAGCCACAGCTTCTCTGGGCACCCTGTGCCAGCGCCTCAGCACCCTCACAGGGAAGAGCTTCTGCCTAAGAGCTCAGCTCAGTCTCCCCTCGGGCAGGTTCAAGCCATTCCCCTTGGCCTGGCCCTACAGGCCCTTGTCCCAAGCCCCTCTCCAGGTGTCTCGTTTCCAGCATCTCCACGTCCCTCTTGTGTTGTTGCCCAGAGCTGGACACAGGACTGCAGGGGGAGGTCTCAGGATTCCATGGAGGGGGATCACTCCAGGTAAATGACACACCACCAAGGGCACAACTTTATCCCTGGTGTTTGGTTTCCTCGGCTCAGGTCTTGTTTGATTCACAAATGCCACTTTCATAAAAAGAGCTTATTGATAAGCTACAGGGGTAAGAGCCAAATTCCTCTTATGCAGCAGCAGCAAAGGAAAACTGATGCACAGCAGAGGTTTTAATAAACTGCAGCTTGTGATTTATATACCTTGAACCCAAATAACCTGGTGCAAATTTGAGGTTGGGGCAGCTTTCAGGAAACAGACCTTCAAAATTCATCAGAAGTATCCAGAAAGAGCAAATCACCCATTGGCTAACCTACAGCTACACGTCCATAGTTTGATGGATATTGGCAGTCAAGCACTTGGCTTTGAGGGGTCCCTAAATGATACTGAATGTGGAGAAATCTGTGTTCTGTTTGACACTAAGAGCTGCTCTGGTTTGGAGCTTTTTGGGCTCATCCTTTCTACCAGCTACAGCAAGACAGGACCTATCAGCTCAGTAATGACTTCAGTCAAATAGAGGTCTTTGGGTGGGTGACATTGTAAGCAGTACCTTAGCACCCAAACTAGGCTTGCATCAGTGATAGTTAAATTGGAGCTATCTTACAAGCCCTTAAGACTTCTTTCTGATTCACACATTCGTTTTGGAATCATTATGTATATTATGTCAGACCAGCTTCCTATGGAGAAAACTGAATTATCATCAAGTACAGAGGGTCAAACCTCTTCAAGAAAGAACTAGGATTTAGATCCATAGAGAAAAGGAGCAGACCTGAAATTGAAATACTGATGGGGAAAAAAAACCCCAATGAAATAAAAGAGCTGCTTCTCTGTCCATATAATTACAGTGGGGAGGATTTGAAAGGATGTTTGCTCCCTTGGGAGCAATGATGTGTTCTTCAGCCCTCCTACACCACAGCAGCTTTGCTTCTCCTGTGGTTGAGTGAAAACTACATCCAATTGTACCCAGCTCAGCTGGCAGAGCAGTGAGGAGGCACTGAAGAGACAGTAACTCCTGAAGGGGTGAAGAGATTTAAACGAGATACCTGCACCCCAAGTAACAGAGCAGTCACAGTGTTATTCGTACCTTTTCCCATTCCCTCCTCCTCCCACCTCCCTGAAAAACCCTTCACATTCATCAGGGAACAGATTTTTCTCCCCTGGGTGCATTCAGAACGTTACCACCTGTAACCAAGTCATGAAATGTGTTCTGCGTGGAGCAGACACACTTGATGAAACCCAAGTACTTTTATAGCTTGGCACCTTCTCCAGCTCAACCTGAATTCTGCGAGTGGGCAGTGATTGATCTCCTAGGGTGTAGGAAGGTTACCTTGGGCCAGCTTGAACTGAGGTCAAGGGAGGGGATCCTGCCCCTCTGCTGTGTGAAGGGGAGACCCCCCTGCAGCCCTGATCCAGCTCTGGGGCAGCAGCACAAGAGGGACGTGGAGCTGTTGGAGCGAGGCCAGAGGAGGCCATGGAGCTGCTGCGAGGGCTGGAGCAGCTCTGCTCTGGAGCCAGGCTGAGAGAGCTGGGCTGGGGCAGCCTGGAGAAGAGAAGGCTCCTGAAGGGGAGACCTTAGAGCAGCTCCAGTGCCTAAAGGGGCTGCAGGGAAGCTGGAGAGGGGCTTGGGACAAGGGCCCTTCAACCCAAGCCAGTCTGTGCTTCTGTGAAAACAGGGTAGCTGCAGCACCTCCTTAGCAGCTTTGTGAGGACAGATGGTTTAAGAAGTCTTCCCATACATGGCCCCATCCATAGTGGTGTCTTCTGAAGCTTGCTTTCCTTGTCCTCCTTAAACTTGTGATTGGGACTTAGTGCCTCGCATCAGTTTCGGAGTGTGCTGAGTTCCTGTTTGTTCCATATGGTGCACAGCATTCCACAAGCAGGTTAAACCTGCCTCCACCTCAGTGATGGGAATTAGCTTAGCCTAATGTCCATGTGTTTTCCCCATCAGCGAGTAGACTTTTCCACTGCTCATGCTTTGCACAGCTCTTTACAACTGATGTGTAAAGATCCCCCAAGCTTTTTTGCTCCTTCTGTCAGCATTGTTACAAAATGCCTCTTTAAGTTGGTTCTTAGTCAATGTCTGGGATCTATCAAGTGCTTGAATCCACTCTTTGATAGTGCATTACCTTTGTATTGTGGGCAGAATGATAAACATGAACATAGTTGGCTCTAAGTTATTCCATGTACATCTTAAAGCTTGTGAGGGTTTAGGTGAAGAGCCATTTCACAGCTTGAGTGTAAACCAACCTGCTCTGTGTTCTTGTCATTGCAGCTAGCACAAATGTTTTCTGTTCCCAGACCTCAAATAAGGTTTGTGCTTGGCCTTTCTGTTGTATTTCCCATGCTGTGAGCATCCCAAGTGCAGGAATCTGGCTGACTTGACACCTTTGTGCATGGCATTTACATGTCCTGCAGGCACACAGAGACTTCAGAGCTGCTGCTGCCGTGCAGCTGTGTGGGAGGGATGGCACAAAGTACAGGCTGAGGCAGGTTTGGGGCTCTGCAGCTGATGTTCCAGCTCCTACTGAGAGCAGAGGAAGCCTGAGCTCCATCAGTTTGTCAGCCAGAATGAGATCCTGACATGTGTGTGTGGTGTGGGATCCTGGGGGTTTTGTAGGCTTTCTTCTGTGAACTGCAATCAGAGAGACACAAGGGAGGATAGGAGAGTTTCTGAGGCAGCCTTCCGAGGAGAATCCACTGCCAAAACAATGTAAAACAAAAGCAGAAGGGAAGCATGTTGTTGGATTGGTCTTTTGAGGGTTCTTGTATCTGCCTTGCAGTTTCAGTGTCGTAGAGACATGGAATGGTTTGTGTTGGGGGAGAACTTAAAGCTCCTCCAGCTCCAAACCCTGCCACGGGCAGGGACCCCTTCCACTGGAGCAGCTTGCTCCAAGCCCCTGTGTCCTACCTGGCCTTGAGCACTGCCAGGGATGGGGCAGCCACAGCTTCTCTGGGCACCCTGTGCCAGCGCCTCAGCACCCTCACAGGGAAGAGCTTCTGCCTAAGAGCTCAGCTCAGTCTCCCCTCGGGCAGGTTCAAGCCATTCCCCTTGGCCTGGCCCTACAGGCCCTTGTCCCAAGCCCCTCTCCAGCTTTCCTGCAGCCCCTTTAGGCACTGGAGCTGCTCTCAGGTCTCCCCTTCGGGAGCCTTCTCTTCTCCAGGCTGCCCCAGCCCAGCTCTCTCAGCCTGGCTCCAGAGCAGAGCTGCTCCAGCCCTCACAGCAGCTCCATGGCCTCCTCTGGCCTCGCTCCAACAGCTCCACGTCCCTCTTGTGCTGCTGCCCCAGAGCTGGATCAGGGCTGCAGGGAGGGTCTCCCCTTCACACAGCAGAGGTTCAGGATCCCCTCCCTGAGCTGCTGCTCACGCTCTGGGGGTGCAGCCCAGCACATGGGGGGGTTCTGGGCTCAAACGCTCACTGAAGCCAGGTCATGGGGAGTTTCTCCTCACCCAGCACCCCAAGTCCTTCTCCTCTGGCTGCTCCATCCCATCTCCCCCAGCCCGTGTCTCTGCTGTATCATCCCTCTGAACCGATAATGTCAAAGTTCTTGATGGTAAATGAAAAGTCACCGGATCTTGGGGAATAAAGCACTGTTTGTTTTCCCTCTGTGCATCTCTGGTCCAAATCTGCTATCCTGATCCCACCAGGAGGGTTTGTTTTCTGTTATGTTACCTATAGTTAAAGGGAAATTAACTTCGGATGGTTCAGTTCTGCTTTTTTGACTTGTTACTCATTTGCAGCTGGTTCTCCTGCAGTGCTCACGAGCTGCCTGGGTTTAGTCTTTATTCCTACCATGTAAAATACCTGGCAGGATGCAAGGAATGAGTTATGGGGATCTATAGTGAGGACATGACAGCAGCCAACAGTATGGGGTATGTGCAGTAGAGTTTCCATTAGGAATATTTCCAGTGTAGGAGAACTGGGAGGAGGTTCCCTCAAGCCTCTTTGCTCTAGCTTAGACTTTCCTCTTACCTGTGCGTTTGCTTGATTGTCCTTTTTAAATCCATTTGGAATGTTTTCCAGGCTCTGTTGACATTGCTGAGCAGTGGAACTCCTTGAGGTGCTCAGTGTCCTCTTGAAGCCAGGGCAGCAGTAGAGCCCCTACAGGTCACCTTGGGATGGAACCTGGAGGGTCATCCTACAGGGTCACCCTCACTGCAGCCTGGAGAACTGGAGTGAAGATCATGTATTTAAGAGGCAGCTCTTGATAGGGTTAACTTGTGCTTTGATGCTTCTCTTAAACACATACAGGGATGCTCTACGTGAAGCTCCCACTAGTGTCCAGAAACTTGAATGCAGTTGTGCTGCAGTGAGCTTTACATTAACTGAGCTTTAGTTATAGCTGGTGACCTTGTGTGTGCACAAACCTTTGTGTTGCAGCAGATGGGAAGATGTCCACTTTAGCTTTAACGAATCATACAATCCCAGACTGGTTGGGGTCAGAATGAACCTCAAAGCTCCTCCAGCTCCAACCCCTGCCACGGGCAGGTACACCTTCCACTGGAGCAGCTTGCTCCAAGCCCCTGTGTCCAACCTGGCCTTGAGCACTGCCAGGGATGGGGCAGCCACAGCTTCTCTGGGCACCCTGTGCCAGCGCTCTTACAGGGAAGAGCTTCTGCCTAAGAGCTCAGCTCAGTCTCCCCTCGGGCAGGTTCAAGCCATTCCCCTTGTTCTGTTACCCCATAACATTAAAATAGATGAATATATTGTGCAGTCAGGAAGAATATGGTGTGCTTTGATAACCCTGGTTCAGCTGAGGGATGTTGCCTTAGGTCATCTGCATAAAGATCCTTGCTGATACCCATCTGTATGGATTCAGCTGTCAATGTGCAGAAGCTGAAGTTAATATTAACACCTTTTTGTGCTTTGAGATGTTGTTCTGGTTATGGATATTAAGGAAACTGCTTATTGAATCGTACTGATAGGTAGAGTTTTATCTTGAAAGGATGTTTTTTGCCGAGGTGCTGCATTCTGAGGTGGCAGGAACGTTTCTGCCCTGGGAATCATCACCACTGTTCTGACATTTAATCTAAGAGCTTTTTTCCTTTTCTTACAGGCAACAATTGGCATTGACTTCTTATCGAAAACCATGTATCTGGAGGATCGAACAGTGAGTAAGAGTTTTGTGCCCTTCTCTATGTACAGTACGAATGAAGATCAGCATCTGTTGTAACTGTGCAGCCCACAGTTGTGAGATCACTTGGAAGCACAGACTGAGCAGCATCTACCAGCTGCTTCCAGACTGACAAGGGCTGTGGCGACAGCTCCCTGCTCTGTTTGGGGCAATGGGAAATCACCTCTTGGTTCATGAGTGCCATTGACACGTGGCAGAAGGTGCTGCAGTGTCATCCTCTTTGGAACAAGAGAGCTGGATGGTTCGAGGGGTGCATAATGATGGGAATGTGGAGGAGGGGACCATGCTTATCCCCTTCAGGTTCTGATGTCAAAAGACAGGAGGATAAAATACAGATGTTTCTAGTTAATAGCTCAATATTAATGTTACTGGTTTAAAAAGAAGGTTGCCTTTAATAATAATCCACAAACACTGCTTGTTTGTCAGCTTGGTGCAGTTCTAGCTCCCCAATGAAATGACTCCTGTGTGGAAGCAAGCCTGTGGTTTCAATGAGCTCAGATTCTTAATGAAGGCATTCAGAGTTGTGCTATTTGCAGAAGCAAATTGTGCAGAGCTGCAAAAGCTCCTGGGCTTGTAGAAACCCCCAATCAATGTGATTGCATTGAAAGTGCTTGAGCAATGAGATGTTCTTTCCTTGCCCATCTTGCCATGTGTGTTGCTTTCAATATATCCTGCCTTTTCTTTCAGAACCTTGATGGTAAGAGACATTCAGCCTCATTATGTGCATGTTACTTTGCAGTGTGGCTAAGGCATAAATAGAGAGTGATAACATTTTATCCTCCTCGATAAAAAAGGCACGTTAGAAGCTTTTCCAGTGCTTTGACAGCAGTGAAAGGCTCTTCCATTAGAAATGGATGATGGATGGAGTCTGATTTTTCCACCACCAACCATCCTCCAAGTTGCTGGAGGTTCCCTGGGTGAGGATGACAGCAGAGCAGGAAAACCTTGAGGAGGCAGAACCACAGGTGAATGTGAAGTTTTCCTGTTGGTGCTCTCAGTTTCAAAGCTGAGCAGGTTTATTCCTCCCCTCTGGAAGTCTTTTTTTACATAGCAGAAACCCAGGATAGCTGCACATCCACCCCTTTGGCTCCTGCTGGCGCTCGGGAGCGCTCCTCGGGAAGCTCCCAATCATCTCCTGCATGATTATCATTTTTATTTAGCTTTTTTTTTGTTTGTTTCCTTTTTTTTTCTTCTTTTCAAAAGTAAAATTTCTTTCTTCACCTTTCATTTTTCGTGGCAGTTTGGCTTTTTTTCATTTTCTCCCACCCACAGATCAGGTTGCAGCTGTGGGATACTGCGGGTCAGGAACGTTTCCGTAGCCTCATTCCCAGTTACATCCGTGACTCTGCTGCTGCTGTAGTAGTTTACGATATCACAAGTAGGTATTTTGGCACTGGCTTTGACCTTTGTTCTTATTTTTCTTGCTTGTTTGACTGATTTTGTTAGGTACGGTTGCAATTATGGGACACAGCAGGTCAAGAGCGGTTCAGGAGCTTGATTCCTAGCTACATTCGTGACTCCACTGTTGCAGTTGTTGTTTATGATATCACAAGTGAGTGGGGGGAATTCTGCATTTCTAATCCTCTGCCCCTTTTCATCCTTTAGCTTAGCTTTGCATGTCCTGTCGCAGCCATCTGCTTGTCCTTCATTCTGGCATGACAAACCAAGGTGTTTTCTTTCACTCCAGTCCAGTTTTAGGCTGGCCACCTGATTGCTGCTGTTGTAATGTATAAACTGTCTTCCAACCATCAGTTTGTAACCTTTTCCTATCACATTCTTGAATCCTGGCTGGTCTTGTTGCCCTCTCCCCTCTTTCATCTGCTTTTTTGATCATAATATCACTATGACTTTTGATCTCAACCACCTGAATCATGTTCATAAATAACTGGATTCTGAAATGAGAGACTTTGCACTGATAGCTGTAGCTTGCTTCACTCCATTTACCCTCTCTCCCCCCCCCCCCAAACAATCTGGGCATGGGCTGGAGGGGGGAATGCATTAACATCACACTTCCATTTTGAATCAGTTGCTTTCCCATTCTGCAGTATGGAAAACTTCACCACTAAGCCCTTATCTTTTAACAATTGCTCTTTCATTTCTTACTAAGGTATGTACATTTTTGTGAACTAAAATATTAGTGCTTTTTTCAAGCCTTCTCTTTCTATCCCTCCCCTCAGTCCGGAGCCCCCTTAACTTACCAGCCTCCTGCATTCACAAACACTGATTTAGGAGAATTAAACCTTCAGCCACTTTCATTCTAAACCAGAATCAGCCACGAACAATGGCCTGATTCTATCTAAATGCAAAATGCTTGTCCTTTGATGTATAGATACTGGAAGGTTACAGCAGGAATGTGGGGTTTACCTATTAAAGCTTTAATTGTTAAAAAGAGTACCTTTATTTGAGCTGGAAGCACAGGTTAGCTGTGGACTTGGATATATTTGTACTGACCTGGCAAATTGGGTATTGCCAAGCAGCAGAAAGAATTCAGCCACTGGGAAGTGATCACATCTTGGCTGTGGAGCACACAATATATTGCTATGCAGTAGAAGCCATTAAACCAATCAATACTCCTCGGGAACTGCTGCAGAGCCTCCCCCTCTTTAAGTACTGAGAACTACTTTGGCAGTTCAACTGTATTTCGCCTCACTCCCTGGCAGATGCTGAGCTCCACATGGCTTCTATACAGCTGGTTTTTCCTTGTGGGATGCAACATTTCCAACAATAAACTGTCTCATTGGGTCATTTGAGCTTCCTGAAATTCTTGTGTTGCAGCTTTTAAGGAGAAATCATAGAATCCCAGACTGGTTTGGGGTGAAGGGACCTTAAAGCTCATCCAGTTCCAACCCCTGCCACGGGCAGGGACCCCTTCCACTGGAGCAGCTTGCTCCAAGCCCCTGTGTCCAACCTGGCCTTGAGCACTGCCAGGGATGGGGCAGCCACAGCTTCTCTGGGCACCCTGTGCCAGCGCCTCAGCACCCTCACAGGGAAGAGCTTCTGCCTAAGAGCTCAGCTCAGTCTCCCCTCGGGGAGGTTCAAGCCATTCCCCTTGGCCTGGCCCTACAGACCCTTGTAAAGTATGCAGAAAGCGTGTCTGTGCATAGGTTAAGTTTGTATTTCTGGTTCTGTACAAATGATTTGGGAACTATTTGGAGCATTCAGTGGTACAGGAGTTGTTAGTGTGTTGTATAACCCTGATACACCCTAGAGAGCATCCTGAACCATGCACGGTAAATGTGATGAATCAGTAGAAAACCTGTAGCTGGTATTAGGTACTCTAGAGAAGCCATGAACTTGTAGGAACCTCTTGCTGTAGCTGCACAAGTCACAAGCAGTGTAGAATGCACTATCACCTCAATCCCCTTTCTCTCTATAAACTATTTTACGTTGAACTAAAGAAGAGGGGAACTGGTTTAAACCCCAGTGATGCTCATCTCAGTATAGACAGTGGCAAAACCAAGCTCTAGCTCGACTCAGCTCCCTGGCTTTGAATTCACCTGTAGTGAGGTGGATTTGAAGCCCATTTGAAATGAACACCAAAGCTTTTGTATCATTCAGTGTGGGAGTCTTAGGGTTTCACTTGCTGATTCTTCATCACCCTGTTACGCCAATTCCAGAGACTATGAAGCTTTCATTTGGGCTTTAGAGATGGGTTTACCAGGGATCTGTGAGCAATTCCTGCAGTGACAAATCCTCTCCATGTTCTCTATTAGATGTAAACTCGTTCCAGCAAACAACAAAATGGATTGATGATGTGAGAACGGAAAGGGGCAGCGACGTCATCATCATGCTGGTGGGAAATAAAACAGATCTAGCAGATAAGAGGTACGGAGGAATCCCTCATCTTCCAAGTGCTGTTGTGAACCTGCTGCTCTTTGCTCCTAGACAGCTATTGTAAAAAGAGCATTGGTGTTTGTATTAGTTCCTAAATGCTGAAGCTTGTTTTGATTGTGCTGGAGATGGGAAATGTGATGAGAGACATCTTAATTAGGAGTCTTTCATTTGGTTAAGCACAAGTTGCCAGTGAAGGAGCAGAGCAACTGTCACCAGCTTGTTCAGGTGACAGGATGGAATGTCAGCCACAGCCTGGGTCAGCACGTGAGTGACCTAAAATCATTATGGAATTATGGAATGCTCCATCCCTGGCAGTGTTCAAGGCCAGGTTGGACAGAGCCTTGGGTGCCATGGTTTAGTGTGAGGTGTCCCTGCCCATGGTGGGGGGTTGGAACTGGATGATCTTGAGGTCCTTTCCAACCCTAACTATTCTATGATTCTATTCTATGATGACAGATATTCCTACTTAATACATTTGCTCAGCTATTAATGATAGGTGCAACTGGTCCTCCCTTTTGAAACCCTTCAGGGGTTTACATAAGTTGGAAAACTTAAGCATTTTCCTACAAGTTGGGCATCTTCGGCTTTTGCTGCTGCTTTTGGGTTTGTAGTATTCATAGAATCATAGAATAATTTGGGGTTGGAGGGGACCTTAAAGCTCCTCCAGTTCCAACTGCTGCTATGGGCAGGGACACCTTCCCCTAGAGCAGCTTGCTCCATGCCCCTGTGTCCAACCTGGCCTTGAACACTGCCAGGGATGGGGCAGCCACAGCTTCTCTGGGCACCCTGTGCTGGTGTCCAGCTGAACTTGAATTTAAAACCATGAAATGCTTTCAGAACTGCACTGATGCAGTCACCTTTTGGGGTTGAAGACAAGAATCTGTATTTTCAAGGTGTTTGTCTGTGTTTTTTATTCCTAATTCTGTGTTATCTTCCCAGACAAGTGTCCATTGAGGAAGGAGAAAGAAAAGCCAAAGAGCTGAATGTAATGTTCATCGAAACTAGTGCAAAAGCAGGATACAACGTAAAACAGGTGAGTAACCACAGCAGGCACAAGAATACTTGTGTTAATGCACCACTGTGGAAACAGAACTTCTCTGGGCATTGGAAAGCCTTTGCAGAGGGTCTTGGGGGGACATTTGTAGTCCACATGCCACAGACAACATCTCAGAGTTGAACTGTTGGCTGAGGTTCAGAAGAGGATCCCTGACCTTGCAGCAAAGGGCTTGCAATCTCTTTGCCCTTAGAAGAGAGGAGCTGTGGAAGAGAAATCCTTCCTGGATTTCTGATCATTCAGATTTGGTGTTTAGATTGAAGGGATTAAAGCATGAGCCAAACAGTTGGGGAAATAGAGGTCCTAGGATTGTTTCTGGTGCCAGTTCAGTGAATGAACATGGTCCAGATGGGCACACCAGTCAAGGAAGAATGTGATGGCTTAAATGTACAGTGGTGCTTCCGTTGTACAGTGAGACAGTGTAAACTGGTGTTTCCACTCCAGAAGGCCCTGAAAGTGTGAGTCAATGTTCTTGGAGAGCCAAAGCTCTTTACTTTTGGTAGGTGATGAGTTGCTTTTGAATTGGGGAAAGCAGGGAGAGGTCTGTTGAGCTGATGCAACTGCAACAAAATTAGGTTTCATGCTGTGGGATGAGCTGAGACCTTTTGCATTGTGACATGGTAAATGAGGCTTTAGCACTTGTGTTAATGAAGATAAATCACTTGGCAAACGGTGAACGGGTGAGAGTAGTAAACACTGAGGAACTGGCCTGGTGTTGACAGAGAAGAAATGTTGTGATCACAAATAGGCTGTCAGGAATCACAGTCACTGTTTTCAATTGGGAGGGACCAGAGCAGAGCTGCTCCAGCCCTCACAGCAGCTCCATGACCTCCTCTGGACTGGCTCCAACAACTCCAAGTCCCTCTTGTGCTGCTGCCCCAGAGCTGGATCAGGGCTGCAGGGGGGGTCTCCCTTTCACACAGCAGAGGGGCAGGATCCCCTCCCTGAGCTGCTGCTCACGCTCTGGGGGTGCAGCCCAGCACATGGGGGGGGGTTCTGGGCCAGGTCATGGGGAGCTTCTCCTCACCCAGCACCCCAAGTCCTTCTCCTCAGGCTGCTCCATCCAGGCTCCCCCAGCCTGGGTTTGTGCTGGGATTGCCCTGACCCAGGGGCAGGACCTTGCCCTTGGTCTGGTTGAGCTCCATGAGGTTCATACAGTCCCACCTCTCCAGCCTGTCCAGGTCCCTCTGGACCCCATCCCTTCCCTCCAGTGTCACTGCTCCACACAGCTCGGTGGCATCAGCAGATGTGCTGAGGGTGCTGGATCCCACTGTCAGTGTCACCAGCAAAGATGCTGAACAGTGCTGATCCCAGCACCGACCCTTGAGGAGCACCACTCATCACTGGTCTTCACTTGAACATCGAGCTGGTGACCCCAACTCTCTGAGAGCAATTATCCAGCCTATTTCTTATCCACACCGTGGTCCATCCATCAGATCCATGTCTCTCCCAGTTTAGAGCCAAGCATTCCTAACAAGAGGCAAGAGAGCTAGAGGCAAGATTCTAGCACATCATGAATTGAGAGCGAGTGGTGTCCATCCCTCCTGACTCAGTGCACAGTGGGATACTGCTGCTTCCTTGATGTAGCAGTTTCTTACATGGAGTCATGGCCCTTACATTATTTGCTCTTATGGTAGGAGGAAAAGCAGCAGTGCAAGAGGTAGAAGACATCCCCACACAGCAAACAGATGCACACACGTGTATATACACAATCCCACGTGGTTTGTGCCTGTGTAGTTACACACAGTTTGTGTGCAGAATCGTATCAGTTGCTAAAACAGGCTTATAAATGACTTTGTACTTTGTAGCCAGGACTAAAGGTCTGTTATTAAAATGTCTCTTGACTTTGTATATTAGGAGCAGCATTATTCCTTACATAATGGAATAATGAGATGTGTTAACTCAGTGCTGTATTCTGGTGCATTAGTGAGCATGAAAGTGTTTGGTCCCAGGGTCCCCAATTATCCTGCCACAACACAGAGGCTGGTTTGTAATTAAGGCTTGGATCCCATGCTGGAATTCTTAATGTCTACTGAGACTGCAGGGAGTGAACTTGAGAGCAGTGGCCTGGCTGAGGGGAATGATTTACAGATCCCAGTATGGGTTGGGTTGAAGGGACCTTAAAGCTCCTCCAGCTCCAGCCCCTGCCATGGGCAGGGACCCCTTCCACTGGAGCAGCTTGCTCCAAGCCCCTGTGTCCAACCTGGCCTTGAGCACTGCCAGGGATGGGGCAGCCACAGCTTCTCTGGGCACCCTGTGCCAGCGCCTCAGCACCCTCACAGGGAAGAGCTTCTGCCTAAGAGCTCAGCTCAGTCTCCCCTCGGGCAGGTTCAAGCCATTCCCCTTGGCCTGGCCCTACAGGCCCTTGTCCCAAGCCCCTCTCCAGCTTTCCTGCAGCCCCTTTAGGCACTGGAGCTGCTCTAAGGTCTCCCCTTCAGGAGCCTTCTCTTCTCCAGGCTGCCCCAGCCCAGCTCTCTCAGCCTGGCTCCAGGACAGAGGGGAAGAGAGGCCACATCTTGTATTCCTGTGCCTGTGGCCCATTGTGGCAGTAGATACTGTCATTTACGTGCTTTGGAAAGCCACCACAGCCTCCATCAAGAGGGATGGGAGCTCCCTTTAATCCACGGTGAAGGAACTAACTTTGCCTTCCTGTGTTTTATGCTGCAGCCATTGGGGGATTTTCCTAATGAGATTGTGAAAGCAGAAAGCCATTTCTGTAGCTGTGGCCTCACTTGCTCGCTCTCTAGGGACAACTCTTGGTTGGGTAATGGAGGTCTAGACAAATCATGCCTCTGATTTTAATTGCCAGGTTACATGCTGCAAGACTTGCTGCTGTGAGAAAATAGGGTAGGTAATGCAGCTCCAAGCGAAACAGGGTGGTGGTGGGAAGCTGGATGCTAATTCCTGCTATGAAATAGAAGATTTGGTGTTGGGAGACATAAAACTTGTTCTTTGTTAACATTAAGAAATAGGAATATCTAAAACCTGCATCATATTTCAAGTGGGTACTTGATATAATGTGAAATCTTGTCAGAATGGGACAAGAGGACAGGTTTTAAGTGACCTCATTCTCTGTGCACAATATTGAACCACAAAGACCCGAGGGGTGGTTGAATAAGAGCTAAAAATGGATTTTTCTGCTCAGTCTTGATCCTGTGTTGCAGGCAGGGATTGGGATTTGTAGGAACTTCAAAGCTCCCTTGTGCTGCAGAACATTTGGAGCTCTCACTTTCAATTAGTTTCATAAGTAACTGTTGAAACAGTTCCCAAAGGAGAAGACTTTTAATACCATTATTTCCTAGTTCTGTTTCCTTGCAGCTTCTCTATTTGGTCTGAGTTTATGTTACTAACTTGTCATGAATTCTTGCCTAGTGAAATGGGAGCAACTCCATCACTCTGCTGTGGTGAGACCCCACCTGCAGCACCATGTGCAGGTCTGGGGTCCTCAACATAAGGAGGACATGGAGCTGTTGGAGCAAGTCCAGAGGAGGCCACGAGGATGCTCAGGGGCTGGAGCAGCTCCTGTATGGAGCCAGGCTGAGAACATTGGGGCTGTTGAGCCTGGAGAAGAGAAGCTGCGTGGAGACCTCAGAGCAGCTTCCAGTGTGTGAAGGGGGCTGCAAGGATGCTGGGGAGGGACTCTTCAGTAGGGACTGCAGTGATAGGACAAGGGGTGATGGGTTCAGACTGAAACAGGGGAGATTTAGGTTGATTATAAGGCAGAAGCTCTTCCCTGTGAGGGTGCTGAGGCGCTGGCACAGGGTGCCCAGAGAAGCTGTGGCTGCCCCATCCCTGGCAGTGTTCAAGGCCAGGTTGGACACAGGGGCTTGGAGCAAGCTGCTCCAGTGGAAGGGGTCCCTGCCTGTGGCAGGGGTTGGAACTGGAGGAGCTTTAAGCTTCCTTCAGCCCAAACCATTCTGTGATTCTATACATAACCTTCCCATAACCTGTATAAAATGTCTCTTTAATAAGCTGAAGGCAAATTTGACCTTCCCCATACTGATATCTTCTATCCACAATCAATTCTGATGCTGCAGGGCAATTACTGTCTGAGTTAATTTTCACACAGGAGTTTGAATTCCAAATGAAAACTCCTGTGTTTAATTAATCAAATTATTATAATCAAGTTTAAAATGATCAGATTATTTTAGATACCAATTCCAGCTTTTGACTACATCTAATGAAGCACACTGATGTAAAAATTAACGTTACCTTCTGCCAGATAGGGAATGCTAATGTCAAAGTGAGTCTTGGGCTAGTTGTCAAGTCATTGACTTGTCCATCAGGGGATAAGTTCAGGCTTAGCATTGACTTTAGCAGCTTTGATACTGAGTCCAAAACTGCTGACACAACACTGCTGTTCCCAGCACAAAATCCTTCTGCTGGATGTAAATCCCATGCTCTGGGTTAATGGTAGGGAATGACACAAGCTAACACAGAAAGAGACTTGGGATGAAGCTGAACCCTCCATCCTTCACTGTTGGCTTCTTTACATTTCCACCCCCTTCTCATTGAGGTTTTGGTTTCTGTGCAGTGTCTGCTGTAGACTTTGGTGTTAACAACGCCAGAGTGAGCTCTGCTTTAACTAATGCCTCATGTCTGGCCCACCAGAGCTTCCTGGCTTTCTTTCCATGTTATCTTTCAGCTCAGAGATGTGAATTCCAGCCTCACTTGTGTGCAGGCATGATCTGGAGATGTCACTGGGAGCACACTTGCCTTCACAGCCCTAGGGCTGGCTGCCAGGCAGGGTTAGCAGGAGCAGAGGCAGCCCAGGGATGCCATGGGGTTCCAGGCAGTGCCATGACCTCAATCCAGTTGTGATGAGACGTGGAGGAATGACATCATCTCACAGTCTTCCTGTAAGCATGGAATGGTTTGGGATGAAGGGACCTTAAAGCTCCTCCAGCTCCAACCCCTGCCATGGGCAGGGACCCCTTCCACTGGAGCAGCTTGCTCCAAGCCCCTGTGTCCATCCTGGCCTTGAGCACTGCCAGGGATGGGGCAGGCTCTCAGTTTATGACTTCTCTGGCATTTCTTTACCCCAACAACTGAGCTGAGTTGCTGTTGGGATGAGCCTCATCTCTTGGAGCTGCCCACTGTCAGAGCAGGTTGTAGCACACAGCTGGATCTCTTACTGAGTCCTACACACTCCCTGTTCTTCTTACTTTGGGGAGAGGATGTTGAAGGAAAAACGAGTGGATGGTATTCCAGAATACAAATGCTGCTGAAAGTGTTATTCAGGGGTTAAATTGATGCAGTAGAGGGGAAGAATACTGGCTTTGGGGTCCTGCATGTTCCAGCAGACTGATTGCCAAGGGAGCCCTAAGACTGAGGAGAGAAGTAGATAACTTGCTTCGTTTAATGCAGAGACTCCTAGACTCTGATTCATTTCATTTGTCAGCCCTGAATAAGCTTTACAAGCCTTTAAGATTCATGCTCTCCCTCAGCAGTCTGTATTTGAGGCAATCTCATTGTTAGGCTCTGCACTGCATGCCCAGAATGTGTCAGCCTTCCTTTTGCTGTCCTGGAGAGAGGAGGGAGAGCCCTGAAGACCTCCTTAGAGCAGTACCTGGCACACTCCATGCAGGCTCAATATGGGATTTGGCAGCCAGACTTTCTCATGGCAGCAGCTAAAGGCCTCTGGAGTAACCCTGTTCTCACAGAGCTGGCTGCATCCCCCTGCTTGGCTCTTTATCCTCTTGTGTGTTGATTCCTGTCTATCTGATGGGCAGGAATTACTCCAGTTGCACTGCTCCCCTCGGAGAATGGGAATGAGGGGAAGGGGTTTGCTTGCTTTGCATTAGGGAGCAGGTTTCTTGCCTGGCTTTTCCACATGGGCAGTGATCCTCCTGTCCTTCCCATGCTGCTGCAGGAGTGGTACAGTGAGGACTGGGTTAGGCCTCCAGTTTGTGACAGTGATCTGGTGGGGATTTAGTAGCTGGAGGAGGAGGAAAGGCACAGACTGCAAATGAGTGAAATCCAATGGTGAGGGATGAGGGATTGTCTTCTTTATCAGGGTTTAATCAGGAAGGAGATTCAGGATTCAGTGCTGAAAGAGACTTTGTGTGGCTCTTATTCATTCACACGGCTGCATTTTGTCCCTGCCTGTGGCAGGGGGTTGGAACTGGGTGAACTTTAAGGTCACTTCCAAACCCAAACCAGTCTGGGATTCTGGGGTTTAACAGCTGCCTTGGGAAAAAAGTCCTGAATGCTCACCAATAGATGTGTTTTTATACACACACACACACACACACACACACACTGATACTCAGACATGGAATCCTGGAATGGTTTGTGTTGGAAGAGACCTTAAAGCTCATCCAGTTCCAACTGGGTCCTGAATCTCCTTCCTAATTAAACAGGACAGGGACCCCTTCCACTGGAGCAGCTTGCTCCAAGCCCCTGTGTCCAACCTGGCCTTGAGCACTGCCAGGGATGGGGCAGCCACAGCTTCTCTGGGCACCCTGTGCCAGCGCCTCAGCACCCTCACAGGGAAGAGCTTCTGCCTAAGAGCTCAGCTCAGTCTCCCCTCTGGCAGGTTCAAGCCATTCCCCTTGGCTTGGCCCTACAGGCCCTTGTCCCAAGCCCCTCTCCAGCTTTCCTGCAGCCCCTTTAGGCACTGGAGCTGCTCTAAGGTCTCCCCTTCAGGAGCCTTCTCTTCTCCAGGCTGCCCCAGCCCAGCTCTCTCAGCCTGGCTCCAGAACAGAGCTGCTCCAGCCCTCGCAGCAGCTCCATGGCCTCCTCTGGCCTCGCTCCAACAGCTCCACGTCCCTCTTGTGCTGCTGCCCCAGAGCTGGATCAGGGCTGCAGGGGGGATCTAACAGAGCGCAGCAGAAGGAGAGCAGACACCTTTTTAACACACCTATATACATTATATTATAGATGTATATATATATATCTCTGCAACCTCCTTCCACATTTGTGGTGAGCTAAGCCTTCTGACTGAGGTGCTGCAGGCACTGTGCAACACTGAGCCCCTGTGTTGAAGGCTCCTTTCTGAGCATCATGAAGTTTCCCTAATTGGATTTGTGCACCTATGTTGTGGCTGATAAGCAGAAGGTTAATAAGGAAGAAAGTTGATTTTCTTAGTTGCCAAATTCCTTTTTTTAGTCAAATCATTTAGAGGAGAAATACTGCTAAAAGCGTTGAGGAGAAATACTGCTAAAGGCAGGATTTTATGCCTGGGCTCACTGTAAAGGAAGGATTATGGTATTTTCAACACTTAGCCTTTCTGTCAGCAGCTTGGTTTAAATGCAGTAATTCCAGTGGGTTCCCAGCAGCTGAGGTTTTTAAGGCTCCCCACCCCTCCCCTCTATAAACTGCATCCCTCACTTCCTACTATTATACAAGGGGGAAATACATGGTTAATCTGTCCACAGTTTAAAACCATTGGGGGTTTTTTAATGCTTATTCCATGTAGGATCTCCAAATGCATGATGCTAGCAAAGAGCTATATGAATTGATGCTTTTCCATCTTCATATTGGAGCAAAGGTGGCAACCAGCCTAATTTAGGCAAGATGTGGTAGGATTATGCCAAACTCTTGCACATCCAGCCTTAAAAGTGATGGGGAGGGATTTTTCTCTCCCCCAAACCTTCTGGGTCAAGAACTGGGGCAAAATGATTCTTCAGAAGTGTAGTGTATGAGCAGAAAAAGCCATGTATTGAAGGGTAGAGAAGCAGATTTACTCCATCCTCTAACTTATTATCTAACTATCAGCAGGAAAATGTGTGTTGAAAGGATGAGAGGTTGAACAGATCTTCCCCTCCGGAGCTAATAGGGATTGATGTAGTGATGCACCACAGAGGAGCAGGGTTTACCGTACCATAGCACCTATGTATGCACTGACAACATATCAGGCCTTCTGAAAGCCTAACTGTTGATGGTATTTGGGTATTCTCCAGTGCAGCCTGGTTCTCTGATCCCTTTTTCCTGTGTTTTTTTGCCTCCCAGAAGTCACAAAGCTCACTTGATACTGAATATTGGGAGAGCAAAAGTAATTCTAGGGACAAAGGTCAGTAAAGAAGGAGAGTCAGGACCTTCTGTTCCCAGACATGGTCGAGTCAGGATTTATATTGAAGACTGTTAAAGGCAAAGAAAACATCGAGGCTGCAAAGAGCTTGTGGATTCAAATCACAGAATCCAGAGTGGTTTGGGTTGGAAGGGCCCTTAAAACTCATCCAGTTCCAATCCTCTGCCTAAGAGCTCATCTCAATCTCCCCTCTGACAGGTTCAAGCCATTCCTCTTGTCCTGTCCCTACAGGCCCTCGTCCAAAGCCCCTCTCCAGGTTTCTTGTACCCCCTTTAGGCACCAGAACACTGGATGAAGATGCTGAGTGCATGGAAACATCTAGTGTCCTGGATTATATGCAGACAGGAAGTACATGGTAGTGACAATGTCTGTGGTGGTGTAAAAATATGAATGCAGTGTATGTCAGATGTTCATTTCTGGGTATGGATCAAACTCTACTGGGGTTCTTCAAAGGTAGGGAACAATTAGGTGGTCAGTTGAAAACCTTGGTGAATAGTAAAGGCACAATGCATCCTTCCATCTGTCTGATCCATTCTGTCCATCCTTTTGTGCTGAGACACATGAAAAGGAGAACGTTGGCATTGAAATCTGTGTGGTTCTTACCAAGTAGCATGGCAGGGTGTCAGAGAAGTCACTGAGCTGAAGGACATTCCTTAACTGGGCTGTTCTGTGCAGGAGGAGGCAGACCTTTGTGGGCTCAGGAGAGCCAAGTGAATGCTCACACATTAATAGTGGGCACATCTGTAGGCTGTCACCCAGAGAGCTGATGGGAACCAGGAGTCTGAGCCTTGGGGCTAAGGTAGGGAAGGCAGGAGAGGGAATTGGTCCTGTTCAGTCTCACTTCTTGATGGAATAAAACTGTGAAGAGATGCTGGAGCTGAGGTCTTGCTGGGAAACTGGAGACAGTGTTCGAGTGAGAGGAGGAACAACTCCTTTGGGATTGCAGGCTCCTGTTCTGACCACCATCATGGTGATGGAGCAGGTATCAAAAGTCAAGGACACTCAGAAAAGGACTGGGAAGTTCCTGAAAGGAAGATCCTTTCTCTGGTTCATAGGAAGCCTGAGCCATAGAGAGGTAAAGCCTGGAAGAAGATGCTTAGGGGATGTCATTACACACATCCCCTTTTCTGATGCTCTTCTGTATGTGCCACCTGGTTCAATGCAGGTGTTAACACAACTCCTGGATGCTGTGTTTGACTTGGTGTGTCCATGCTCCTGTGTAACCAATACCCTATGGAGGTGGGAAGGTCGAGTTCCCACCTGATCCTGGGGAGGCTTTGGGGTCTGTGCACATCCATGAGGTGGAAACGCTGCATTCCAAACAGAGGATATTAGCAGAGAAGGTGGTGGAAGGTTTGCTGCTCATATCCAGGCACATTGATGTCTTCACTCACAACAAAAACATGGTTTGCCATTGCCTGAGAATAAAGGTTATATTTGGTGTCAGGCTTTTGGTGTCAATAGCCCCAGAGGATGGATTGAATCGTTGTTTGAACTGTATCAACCGAGTGCACTCTTTCAAGTGGGATTGTTTTGATCTGTTCCCTGTTTCCTTGCAGCTTTTCCGACGTGTGGCAGCTGCCTTGCCTGGAATGGAAAGCACACAAGACAAAAGTAGAGAAGACAGTATCCTTTATGTGTCTGAGCTGAGCCTCAGTGGTGGCACAGTGCTGCCAGGCATTACCCTGGACGAGGAAAATGCAGGCTCTGAATAACAAGGCTGAAGAAAGGAGGAGTAATATCTCTCCTGCAGGTCTTGATCAGCTTCTGGACATCCCAAAGTGAGGATTGAGAGGGGGAATAGGGGCAAGTAACCTTCAAGCTTGAAGTACTGAGGAGGAAAGCTTGGGGTGATAGAAGGCTGGGACTAGGAGTGGTAAGGATGGAGGGCTCTCCTGTGAAGTAGGGATGCTCAGGGCTATGGATTGAGGCCATAAACATAAAGGCAACTGAAGGAAAGCTGAAGGAGAACAACAGGAAGGTGCAGAAAGATGCAGTCAAACACATCCAGAAGGATTCTTCATGTGGTGTTGGAGCCAATTGGATGTAGGGAGGGAGGGGGAGACTGGAGTGGGAGAAAACAGTGGCAAAGATGCCTGGAAAAACCCCACTGTGGCTCTTGTAGATCTTGAGTTGCAGAATCCTGCAATGAGCCAGGTTGGAAGGGATCTCTGTAGTTCCCTTCTCCAACCCTGCTGGACCTGCTATGGTGGAAGGTGTCCCTGCCTGTGGCAGGAATTGAAACTGGATGAGTTTTAAGGTCCCTTCAACCTAAACCAGTCTGGGATTCTATGATTCTGTGCTAGAGCTGGGTGAGCTTTTTTGAGTCATTGAACTTCTTCAGGGCTGTCAGTTCATTTGCAGCAGGGATCACGTAGCTGCCAGCTGGGAAAGGGAGGAGAAATGATGCTTTGGAGAAAGGCTGCAGCAGGAGCTGGAGGAGGAGGACGAGCCTGGTGCTAGAACTGCATGTCCTGTAGGGTGTCTGACTACACAGAGGCAAGGAGCATTTGGGAAGCTGTGGATTGCAACTAAAGCACAAGCTTTGTGCATTATGGACTTGATGGAGCCAAACAGTTTCCTTATGCAGGTCACCAAAAGGTTAATGAACAACAATCTTTATTAATGAGGATGGTGTCAGAATGCACCAGCACTGGGCCATGCAGTTCCCGTATCAGGGCCTTTGATCACCGGTCTCTAAATGGGACTGCAACAAGGGCACTTTGTGTTTGACTCCCTGCAGACTGGAGATAGCAGGAACTCAATAGGATTGTCTCCCAGGCAGCTGTGCAGGATTAATGGGGGGGATTTTCCATAGGCTTCTTTGCACATCACTGAGGGTTCAAGGATCTTGAACTGCTCGTGCACACTGATGAAGCTGGCGAGGCTCACTTTGAGCATCACTTGACTTAAATAATAGAGTGGGGTTTAGATCAGGCAAATGGACCAAATATTCAAGATGAATTATTGATCTTTTGTTTCCCTTTTTGTGTTTATTCCCTCCTGATTTCCACAGAAGCACCTTCAACCCCTAAAGACATAATTTGGAAGTATCAGCTGCATGGTGCTTTTGCCTCTGTGTTAACTGATAAGAGAAAGGCTTGAGACTTGTGCTAAACCCATGAGTCACGTTTGGGGATTAGAGTTCCAAGCTCCTCCTGTGAAAGGCTATGGAAGTGTTGGAACTGTAGGGCATCCACTGGGAATTCGAGTGCCAAAGGGAGTAGCTTATCAGCAGCCTGCATTAAAGCTGAGTGCGGACATGGAGTGAGAGGGATGCGCTTGCCAGTTGGATGTGAAGTAGAGAGGAGCAGGAGTTTGGCCTTCCCTGGGCTCCTCTGGCCTCCTGCTGTCTCCATTGTTGGCTTCATTGTTCTTCATTGTCCAGGTGGATCCCTCCATGGGTGCCTTCCAGCTGTGGGTAATGCTGGCTGTGCTGGCAGGCTGAATGGAGCGTTGATGTGAACCTGGGGGCTCCCAAGCTGTTACTGGTTCCCTCTGAAAATGGTCATTAGACACTGGTATGGAACAAAAGGAGATTGCTGGTGGTCACTGGGAAGAGCAGGCTCTGGTTAGAGGCATAGAACCCCAGCCTGGTTTGGGTTGGAAGTGACTTAAAGCTCCTCCAGCCCCAACCCCTGCCACGGGCAGGGACCCCTTCCACTGGAGCAGCTTGCTCCAAGCCCCTGTGTCCAACCTGGCCTTGAGCACTGCCAGGGATGGGGCAGCCACAGCTTCTCTGGGCACCCTGTGCCAGCGCCTCAGCACCCTCACAGGGAAGAGCTTCTGCCTAAGAGCTCAGCTCAGTCTCCCCTCGGGCAGGTTCAAGCCATTCCCCTTGGCCTGGCCCTACAGGCCCTTGTCCCAAGCCCCTCTCCAGATCTCCCCTCCACATTTGGGGTCTGACACTGTTTCTGCTTCTTACTTAAGAACATGTCAAGGCAAAAGGGGCTTCTGAGCCCCCTGTACCTTTACTTCAGCTTGAAGCTGTTTTGTTTAAGAGCCTCTTAAAGCCCTGTGCAGGTATATGAATACTTGCAAAGTGTTTGCACAAAGAAGCTGTGGCTGCCCCATCCCTGGCAGTGCTCAAGGCCAGGTTGGACACAGGGGCTTGGAGCAAGCTGCTCCAGTGGAAGGGGTCCCTGCCCGTGGCAGGGGTTGGAGCTGGATGAGCTTTAAGGTCCCTTTGAACACAAACCACTCAGTGACTGGTTTCAGTGGGAAACACAAACTGAGCATTCCCATTCCCATCCTGCTCCACCTGAGCTTGGTCTGGAGACCATTGGGCATCTGTTTTCCTTAACTTACCTCCTCCAGTGATTGACATCAAACTGGAAAAGCCTCAAGAGCAGCCTGTCAGTGAAGGAGGCTGCTCCTGCTAATACCATGTGGCTTCTTCCTTGCTCCAGAACATCACTGCTTTCCCTCCCTTTACTCTTCATTGACTGCAGTGTGAATATTGGCTTGAACCTTCCCCTTTCAGTAATAACGTATTGCAGTTCATCGTCGCTGGCTGTCTCGTGGAGATGATCTCTTAGCTTCACAAGCACACACACACACACAGGAAAATGTCAGTGTCTTCATTATTTATAAGAAAAAACAAAAAAAAAAGCCAAAATATTCCAGCATATTCTAGTTATAACTTAAAAAAAAAAACCACAAAAAATAGGTACAATTTCTTAATATTTGTTCCTTTTTTTAATATGTTATGATATTGCACTTTGAAATGATGGCAACTGAGGAAGTTTGGCATTGGACTTAGAGGAGATGTGCGTGCAGAAGAACGTGTGGGAATCTCAAACCCGTTTGGTTTCTCTTTAATAACCTGGCAAGGACTTAGCGAGCAGTCAGGAACGCAAGAGGAGGGTTAAATCCTTATCCTTACAATAAGAAGAATAAAAGCATTAAACCCAAGCTCTTAAATCTTTTAAGCAGACATTGACTGGTTTTCAAACCCCCTCCCAATTGGGAGCCAACCTTAAAGGGGGGTTTCAACACCACCAAAGGATTTTTGAGCTCTCGCAGAGGCAACGTGACCACAGCTCCAAGGAGCACACACAGAGCGTCTTTGGGAACGGGCTCAATGGCTTCTGGAGGTCCTTTTTTGGGGGGGTGTGGAAAGGGTGGATGTGCATTAGCAAAACACTTGCAGGAAACAGGGGAATCCTATTTGGAGTGCAGGATGAGCTGAAAGAGCAGTCTGGTTTCCTTTTGGCAATAGGATGCTGCTGGCATAGCGCTGCGCGAGAGATGGGAACGGAGCGGTTCAGGCTGCAGGAGGAGGCGTTGGGAGTTCTTTGGTCCTTTTCGGTTTAGGGGGAATAGGAAGTGAATTGAGGACTGGCACTGCTGGGGTGGGTGAAACCTTTTCCATTTAGCAGGAATGAGGAAGGAGCAGGCGGATCACACAGCAGAGAGGCTGCGGGGACAGACCAGTCCCCAGCAGGCAGAAGGGGGGATTACTGCACCCCTTTCCCATAGGATTATGATAGGTCAGCAGGGGAAGGGGCATTTCCTATGGCTATCTAGTGGAGAGCTCTTAGATGGAAGGGAAAGGAGTTGACTAGGATGGAAACCAACTTCTGATTATCCAGATTTATGCCTTGAATTTTGTAGCTCTTTTTTTTACATTCAATCTCCCAAGTTTCCTTTCGTTCGGTTCATTAGAGCTGTATAGTTTGCTTCAATACTTCCCACTACCATCTTCTGTTTCCTTAGGCTCCCAAATAACCCTTTTCCATCCCTTGGGTATTTATTTCTTTGCTTCATTTTATACTCTTTTCTTTCCCCCCCTTGTCTCGTTCCACCGAGGAACCCGTTCTAGAGCTTTGCTGATGTTTGCGAGACGTAGCTACCCCGGCACCACGGAGCCCGACACCCACTAGAAGTGCACCCTTGTAATGTCCCCTCGTCATTGTGAAGTTGCTGTGTAAGTTACTAACCCCACAACTGTAAATACATTTGTTTGCTGGGGCCAGGCTGGCTGAGTTATAAGTGCAGGAAAGGTGTCGTGATGGCAAGTGAATAGGCAGGCTCCGTCTTTGGTCTCTTCTACCCCTTTAAAGCAGCTTAAAGATAACCCAGTGGGGAAAGAGAGAAGGGAATCGTCCTCACCACCACTTGTCACCAGGGCACGGGGTAGGAAATGTGGAATTCTTCATTCCTGATGGGAATGCCGGGCTCTGCACACCGATCACTTACAGCAAAAGGCAGAATGGAGATGTAAAGTGCTTTTCTAATGCAATATTAAAGGCGAGGTTTTCTTTTTGACGTGGCATGTCTTGAAATAAACATCGATGATCTGTGACCGAGGAGCATTCTTTCTTTGCCAAGGACTTTCCCTGCACCGTGCTGGTCTCCGCGGTGCCAAACCCCTTCCTTTCGCTGCTTTCCCACTTTGGTTCCCTTTGGGGGGTTATTTCCCCTTTGGTCCTCGTTCCCCACGAGCGCATCCTTGGGTTTGGTTCTGACCCCCTCCGTTTGCCATCCTTCCCATTGGATTTGCAAGGAGCCGGCTTAGCGCATCCCAGTGCTAAGCTCCTGGAGCTGCTTGAGGACCCTGCAGCCTGCGTGGCCAGGAGCAGGTTTGTCCAATGGGCCTGTCCCATCCAAAGGCCTCTTGAGGCTGTGATTCCATGAAGGAGCCGTGGCCACGAGCCCGTGTTCAGCCTGGGAACAAGGATGAACCGAGACCCCAGAGACCCACAGGTACGTCCAGCACCGTCCTTGCTGCCTTGCATCCTTAACGTGACAGCAGACCTCCATCCTCTCCAGGGGGAAACCCACTTCCAACATGGGCACAGGAGCAGCTCGGCCCGGTTGGTGGTGTTTCACACCTGGAGTTTGGCTCCATGGACTGCATGGAGACCTCAGAGCAGCTTCCAGTGTCTGAAGGGGGCCTATAGGGATGCTGGTGAGGGACTCTTCATCAGGGATTGCAGTGATAGGACACGGGGTAATGGCTTAAAACTGAAACAGGGGAAGTTTAGATTGGATCTAAGGAGGAAATTCTTTCCTGTTAGGGTGCTGGGGCACTGGAATGGGTGCCCAGGGAGGCTGTGAATGCTCCATCCCTGGCAGTGTTCAAGGCCAGGTTGGACAGAGCCTTGGGTGCCATGGTTTAGTGTGAGGTGTCCCTGCCCATGGCAGGGGGTTGTAACTGGGTGAGCTTAAGGTCCTTTCCAGCCCTAACTATTCTATGATTCTATGACATCCCCTTTGTGTGATGGTAACAAGTCATTGAAGGCATTGTCTAAGGGGGAAAAGGGAGGTTCCTTCTGTTCACAGTGGGGTATCACTGGTACCTCGGCTCTGTTTGATGACAACACCACCCCAGTTCCTTAGCACTTGGACTCAGTCCATACCTGTCTCATTGGAAGCTCTGCCTCTTTAAGTCCATCCAAGCTTGGCAGGGCCCAGGGCATCACCTTCCTGCTGCTTGCTCTGCTCTGGGGGTCAGGGTGCTGCAGGAGGAGGCTTTAAGGACAAAGGGAGGGATGTGATGGGGTCGTGTGCTTGTTCCGACAGCTCCATACAGCGGCTCCACCATTGCTGCCAGCGCCCGCTGAGCGGGGCCGAGGATGAGGATGAGGATGGAGAGCTCGCTCCTCAATCCAGCTGCTTCCTCCCTTCCCTTTCACTAAGGGAAGCGGTGCAGCCTCACCACTGCCTTGGCTTCTGGACCAGCCCCATCTGCCTTGAGGAGCATCCTCCTTAAGCCTCCATCCCAGTGGAGATGGCAGGGACAGGGAGGTGAGTACCAGGAGCAGATGCTCTTTGGTGGACTTACCCAGTGTTGCCCTAAGGGAATGAACTGGTTCTGGTTTGGTGACACCAGCAGCTTAACGTCTGTCACTTGTTGAAGCTCTCCTCTTGCAAGGACCATCAAGGCCATGGAGAAGGCTCAGGGGGGACCTGATGGCTGCCTCCAAGTGCCTGAGAGGAGGATGGAGCCAGGAGGGGCTGGGCTCTGCTCCCAAGGAACAAGGGATGGGACAAGAGGAACCGGCCTCAAGCTGCACCAGGGCAGGTTTAGATGGAGCTGAGGACCAATTCCTGCCCCAGAGGGTGCTCAGGCATTGGAACAGGCTGCCCAGGGCAGGGCTGCAGGCACCGGCCCTGCAAGGGTTCACACCCCATGGAGACCTCAGTGCCATGGGGCAGTGGTGGCCTTGGCACTGATGGGAATGGTTGGACTGGATGATCCTGAAGGGCTTTTCCAACCTGGTTGGGTTGGGAAAATTGACAGGCAAGGAACTTGGAGCATCCTCGTGCAGCGTTGGGGATGTGCTGGAGTTGGTGGCACGGGAGCAGTTGGATGGTGAGAGCTCACTTGGAGAAGGGTTCTGTCACCACAAGGACCTCCCATTGCTCGTGCCTGGGAGATGGGAGCACTGCAAACACCACCTGCACCCCTGGCTGTGGGTGGATCTGTTGGAACCATGGAATCCCAACTGGTTTGGGTTGAAGGGACCTTAAAGCTCCTCCAGCTCCAACCCCTGCCACGGGCAGGGACCCCTTCCACTGGAGCAGCTTGCTCCAAGCCCCTGTGTCCAACCTGGCTTAGTGTCCCTGGGGAGCACTGGAATGTGATGGTCTCGGTTCCTCCTCCCTGCTCCCTGTTGCTGTGGTATTAACCTCAGTGCTGTCACCTCACAGACAGGAATCCCAATAGCCCACCTGTAAAAGGGGTTGGATTGAGCCGTGGGGAAGCTGCTGAGCAAGGCTCAGGCTGAGGACCCCTATCAGGAGGGTGCCCATGGGTCCAGCTCTGCTCCCAGCCTTCCTGGGTTGTGCTGAGCTCCAAAGCCAGACAGGGAGCATCAGGATTAGAGCCTGCCTCGTGCTGGGGCTTGCCCCACTGGGGGGATCAATCCCGGATCCTGCTGTGCTGGAGGAGCCGCATCCACAGCATCCTCCTAGAGCAGCATCCTCCTAGAGCAGCATCCTCCTAGAGCAGCATCCTCCTAGAGCAGCACCCACAGCATCCTCCTTAGAGCAGCACCTACGGCATCCTCCTAGAGCAGCACCCGCAGCATCCTCCTAGAGCAGCATCCTCCTAGAGCAGCACCTACAGCATCCTCCTAGAGCAGCATCCTCCTAGAGCAGCATCCTCCTAGAGCAGCACCTACAGCATCCTCCTTAGAGCAGCACCTACGGCATCCTCCTAGAGCAGCACCCGCAGCATCCTCCTAGAGCAGCATCCTCCTAGAGCAGCATCCTCCTAGAGCAGCACCCGCAGCACCCTCCTAGAGCAGCATCCTCCTAGAGCAGCACCCGCAGCATCCTCCTAGAGCAGCATCCTCCTAGAGCAGCACCCGCAGCATCCTCCTAGAGCAGCACCCGCAGCATCCTCCTAGAGCATCCTCCTAGAGCAGCATCCTCCTAGAGCAGCACCCGCAGCATCCTCCTAGAGCAGCACCCGCAGCATCCTCCTAGAGCAGCACCCGCAGCATCCTCCTAGAGCAGCACCCGCAGCATCCTCCTAGAGCAGCACCCGCAGCATCCTCCTAGGGCAGCACCCACAGCATCCTCCTAGAGCAGCACCCGCAGCATCCTCCTAGAGCAGCATCCTCCTAGAGCAGCATTCGCAGCGCTGCTGCAGCCCCAGCACCATCCTCTGCCTGCACCGCATCCATCCTTGCCTCCAGCAAACACCCAGCAAGAGGGCTGAGGGTGCTGCAGCAGCTCCTTTCCCAGGCTGGGCATGAGCCGGCCGCGATGAGCAGGGATCCTGTCCCTGTGCTGCCTGCGGTGGTTGGGAGCAGCCTCTTCCCTCCGCGGTGCTGCTCCTCCTCCTCCTGGCAGTGCCTGCGCCTGGCTTTGCATCGATCCCTGAAGGGATCCGTTCTGTTCCCCTCCTTTCCACCCCTTCTCCCACCCCGGAGCGTGTGCCAAGGTGGAACGTGGCTTTCGGAAGGTGTTTGGGATCCTCCTGTAGCGGGGATGTGACAACGGCTCCGAGGATGCTCGGGGGCCTCAGGAGCTGAATCAGGGGCGAGAGCTGCTCCCTGCAGGATGAGGTCGGAACTGGATGAGCTTGGGGTCTTTTCCAACCCAAACCCTTCCATGACTCCGTGAGGAGCAGGGGCAGGGCTGACGGCAGCAGCTGGGTGAGGAGGGATGCGATTTCCCGGTGGATTTTCCACCCTTTCCAACCTGTTCCCAAGTTAGTTCAAAGTTAATGCGAATTAAAGCCTCAAATCACCCTCCATCCCCTCTGCCAGAGCATCCACGGTGCTGCCTATCCTCAGACCCGGGCTGCAGGAGGGAGGAAGCGGTGTGGATGGATGGATGGAGGGGTGGATGGGTGAGTGGATGGAGGGATGGATGGATGGATGGAGGGATGGATGGATGGATGGTGGAATGGATGGAGGGATGGATGGGTGGATGGATGGATGGATGGATGGGTGGGTGGATGGAGGGATGGATGGATGGGTGGATGGAGGGATGGATGGAGGGATGGAGGGATGGATGGATGGAGGGAGGGATGGATGGATGGATGGATGGTGGAATGGATGGAGGGATGGATGGATGGATGGATGGTGGAATGGATGGAGGGATGGATGGGTGGATGGATGGATGGATGGATGGATGGGTGGGTGGATGGAGGGATGGATGGATGGGTGGATGGAGGGATGGATGGAGGGATGGATGGATGGATGGAGGGAGGGATGGATGGAGGGATGGATGCTCCCAGCGCTGACCTTCTCCATGTTCACCCGGCCTCGGGAAGAGGGTATGGGAGGGAGCTCAAGGCTCGATCCCGACATTCCTGGTGCTCCATGACCCGTGATGCTTCACTTCCAGACGAGCAGGGTTTGATTCCGGCCGCTCCAGCTGCTTCCTTTGCTCTGACACACGAGGGTTGATGCCCTAGGGCTGTTTGTGGGGCCGTAACCGCTTGTGCCTCCTCCTTGACGCGGATCCCACCGCGTTATTCCTTGCTTTGGAGCTGTGCTGGGATTTGAGCAGCGTTTGGGCCTTCAGCACTGGGAGAGGAGGATGCTGTTGGGTCTCAGAGTTGGGAATGGAGCAGCTCCCCCATAGTTGCTGTTCCTTGGCTCATCCCATTGCTCCGCTCCCACTCAGCATCATTCCCATCAGCACCGGGAGCTGCCGGGAAGCCTCCATTGGGTGAAGGCCTGAGTGGAGCAGACCCCGAGCCGGGTGCTTTGGGGGGTGCTGGTTTCTGCGCCCCCACATTGGTTTGAATGCGTTATCACTGCTTCCTTTGGCTTCCTCACAGTGAAGGGGGGTCTGGCTGCCCTCCTCCTGCCCTTACCCCATCGCTTGGGGGCCCTGGCTCCTCAAGGGACCAGCACAGCCCCACGTGGTGGGACCAGCCCTGGGATGTGCAGGTACCACAGGGATGGGGAGCAAGGGGGGAATGGGGCTCCTGAAGGCCAGCGGCTGGATGTGGCACGGGAGCACTGCAGCATCCAGGTGAACGATCCCAGTGTTTCCATCTCCCCTTTGGGATCTGCAGTGTGGGGAATGGTGCTGGTGGCCCGGGTGCCGGAGATGGGCTTGTGCAGGGAAAACTCCGGCTTTTCCCAGAGCATGGAATGATGGAATGGGTTGGGATGAAGGCAGCTTGAAGCTCCTCCGGTTCCCAACACCATTGCTCCAAGCCCCTGTGTCCTGAGCACGTCCCCACTCGGTTTGGTGCCATCGGCAGACCCCATAGGGAACGCTTGATCCCATCACCCAGGTCACTCATGGGAGACCTTGAACAGGGTTGGGCCCTGGCGCACCCCAGCAGTGCCAGGTCCCAGTCAGGGTGCTGCTGATTGGCCAGTTCCCTCCCCCCCCACACCACTGCATGGACCACTCGTCAAGGCCATGGCACATCCATGTCCCTAGGATGAGGCTGTAGGAAACCAGATGGAAAACCTTGGAGAAATCCGGATGGACAACGGCCAACACACCCGTATCAACCGAGAGGGCTGCTTGGTCATGGAAGGTGATGGATGCCATCCCTTCATTCCTCCCTCCCTCCATCCCTCCCTCCATCCCTCCCTCCCTCCATCACTCCCTTCATCTCTCCCTCCATCCTTCCTTCCATCCCTCCCTGCATCCCTCCCTCCATCCCTCCTTCCCTCCCTCCCTCCATCCCTCCCTGCATCCCTCCCTCCATCCCTTCCTGCATCCCTCCCTCCATCCCTCCCTTCATCTCTCCCTCCATCCCTTCATCCCTCCCTCCATCCCTCCCTTCATCTCTCCTCCATCCCCTCCATCCTCCTTCCATCCTCCATTCATCCCTCCATCCCTCCTTCCCTCCCTCCCTCCCTCCCTCCCTCCTCCCTCCCTCCATCTCTCCCTCCATCCATCCATCCATTCCTTCCTCCATTCACCCCCCCTCTCCTCCATTCATCCCTCCATTCATCCTTACATCTCTCCTTCCGTCTCTCCCTCCTTCCATCCCTCCGTCCATCCATCCATCCATCCATCCATCCATCCCTCCCTCCATCCTCCATCCACCCCAATGCCCTCACAAGTCCCCAGCCACACGCAGGGAGCAGCTGTAGCTCCATTGGGACCAGGGCTGGGACCATCCTGCAAGGAGCCCCCTGCTCCTGAGGGACACGTTTGGGTGGAGCTGATGGTGGAGCACAGATGGAAGTGACGAGGCCGTGGGGATGCTCTTGAGCCACCCGAACCTGCAGGGGCCCCCACACACCGGTCCCTTCCCGAACGGGGCCGGCTCATCCCACGGGGTCTGGATTTGGGATTGGAAGGGAAGGAGCCGCTCTCCCTGGGTCTGCAGCACCAGGGGTTCCCCCCTGCTCCATCCCATCAGGGCCCTCTTTGGGTGGCTTTGAGGCTTCCAGGGGCTCATCCCTGCCCTGGAGCTGCTCCCGATGGACAGGGAGGGAGGAGAAGGGGATGGGAGCTGGGGACACCCGCACAGCTCCAATGGGGAGCGGGACCAAGCCCGGAGATCCCTTGGGAAGCGCCTGCCCCATCCTCCCTCACCCATTGACCGGGGCTCCTTTTCTGCTGCCTTTATTAACGTGCAGAGCTTTGGTTTTCCACGTTTTCCCTCTCCAAACGGGGCTGCAGGGAGCGGGATGAGGATGAGGATGGAGTTTGGGATACCCGGATCCCACACCAGCGCTGGGATGAACCCATCTGGGCTGTGATGGTGAGAGCGGGCCGGGCGCTGCCGTCACTGGGGTTTGTTGGGGTTTCCAATGGAATTCCCATGGGGTTTCATTGGAATTCCTGATGTTTGGAATCGATGGATGAAATCCTGGCTCGGAGGTGATGCCGGCAGCGGGGCCTCTGCCCCCTCCACCCACTGATTCCCAGGGAACTGATTCCTGATGCACCGATTCCCAATTCCCGATGCACTGATTCCCAATGGACCGATTCCCAATGCACTGATTCCCGATTCCCAATGGACCGATTCCCACTGCACTGATTCCTGACGCACCGATTCCCAATGCGATTCCCAATGAACTGATTCCCACTGCACTGATTCCCACTGCACTGATTCCCAATTCCCACTGCACCGATTCCCAATGCACCGATTCCCACTGCACTGATTCCCAATTCCCAATGCACTGATTCCCAATGCACCAATTCCCAATTCCCAATGCATCGATTCCCAATGCACCGATTCCCAGTTCCCAATGCATCGATTCCCACTGCACCGATTCCCACTGCACTGATTCCCACTGCACTGATTCCCACTGCACGTCCCTCTCCCCTCCAGCCACCCCGAGGGACTCTGTACCGCCCCTCCATCCCAAATCCCTGCTTCCCAAACCCCTGATCCCGGCCCGGCTGCCGGGAAGGGTCCCAAGGAAACCGCTCTTGTCCCCAGGGATTCCTTCCCCTCCCACCCCCAGGATGAACAGAGGCTGGGATCCTGCCTGTCCCTCCCGCAGCAACTGCTTGGGAAGCTCCCGTGTTCCATGGGCCCTTCCCAACCCTATTCCTAAGGGTTTACCCCCCATTCCCATAGGCTTAGCTCCAGTTTCCAGGGCTTTAGCCCCCATTCCCAGGGGTATAGTCCCAATTCCCAAGGGTTTAACCCCAATTCCCAAGGGTTTAACTCCCATTCCCAAGTGTTTGGCCCTAATTCCCAAGGGTTTAACTCCTATTCCCAAGGATTTGGCCCCACTTCCCAAGGGCTTAACTCCCATTCCCAAGGGTTCAACCCCAATTCCCAAGGGTTTAACTCCTATTCCCAAGGGTTTGGCCCTAATTCCCAAGGGTTTGGCCCTAATTCCCAAGGGTTTAACTCCCATTCCCAAGGGTTCAACCCCAATTCCCAAGGGTTCGGCCCCAGTTCCCAAGAGTTTAACTCCTATTCTCAAGGGTTTATCCCCAATTCCCAAGGGTTTAGCCCCAATTCTCAAGGTTTTAACTCCCATTCCCAAGGGTTTATCCCCAATTCCCAAGGGTTTAACCCCAATTCCCAAGGGTTTAGCCCCAATTCTCAAGGTTTTAACCCCAATTCCCAAGGGTTTAGCCCCCATTCCCAAGGGTTTAACTCCCATTCCCAAGGGTTCAACCCCAAATCCCAAGGGTTTGGCCCCAGTTCCCAAGGTTTTAACTCCCACTCCCAAGGGTTTGGCCCCAGTTCCCAAGGGTTCAACCCCCATTCCCCAGGATTCAGCCACAATTCCCACCTTGAGCAGCCCAGGGGCTGCCTCTCCTGCCAGTTCCCACTCCAGTGCCGGCTCCCTCCCCAGCACAGCCCCAGTTCCCTGCTGGGCCATTGGCTTTGCTGGGCCCAGCTGGGGCTGCTGAACCCACATCCCCTTCCCAGGTACCTCCCTGGCTCCAAATCATAGAATCATGGAATGGTTTGGGCTGGAAAGGACCTGGAGATCATCCAGTTCCAACCCCCTGCCATGGGCAGGGACACCTCACACTAAACCATGGCACCCAAGGCTCTGTCCAACCTGGCCTTGAACACTGCCAGGGATGGAGCATTCACAACCTCCCTGGGCACCCATTCCAGTGCCTCAGCACCCTCACAGGGAAAAATTTCCTCCTTAGATCCAACCTGACCTTCCCCTGTTTCAGTCTGAACCCATCACCCCTTGTCCTATCACTGCAGTCCCTAATGAAGAGTCCATCCCCAGCATCCTTGCAGCCCCCTTCACACACCGGAAGCTGCTCTGAGGTCTCCACGCAGCTTCTCTTCTCCAGGCTCAACAGCCCCAATGTTCTCAGCCTGGCTCCATACAGGAGCTGCTCCAGCCCCTGAGCATCCTCGTGGCCTCCTCTTTACTTGTTCCAACAGCTCCATGTCCTCCTTATGTTGAGGACCCCAGAACTGCACCCAGTGCTGCAGGTGAGGTCTCACGAGAGCAGAGCAGAGGGGCAGGATCACCTCCTTCGCCCTGCTGCTCGCGCTCTTTCCCCCTCCCGCTCCCTGCAGGGTTTGGGTGCGGAACTGAGCCCGTTCTGTGGGGGTTGGGACACATTCTGTGCCCCCCCCCCCCCCGTGCCCTTGGCAATGGGAACCGGGCGCTGTGGGGTCCTGGGGTGGGGGTTCTGCAGCACACGGGGGTTGTTTAATGCACAAGCTGGAGCTGGGAGCAGGATGTGGGATGGGCGTGGGGCTGGAAGCGGGATACAGGATGGGGTTGGGACTGGGAGAGGGATATGGGGGGGGTTGGGGCTGGGAATGGGATATGGGATAGGTTTAGTGCCGGGAATGGGATATAGGATGGGTTTGGGGTTGGGAATGGGATATGGGATGGGTTTGGGAATGGGAATGGGATATGGGATGGGTTTGGGAATGGGAATGGGATATGGGATGGGTTGGGGAATGGGATATGGGATGGGTTTGGGGTTGGGAATGGGATATGGGATGGGTTTGGGAATGGGATATGGGATGGGTTTGAGAATGGGATATGGGATAGGTTTGGGGCGGGGAATGGGATGGGTTTGGGGTTGGGAACGGGATACGGAATGGGTTTGGGAATGGGATATGGGATGGGTTTGGGAATGGGATATGGGATGGGTTTGGGGCTGGGATATGGCATGGGTTTGGGGTTGGGATATGGGATGGGTTTGGGGCTGGGATATGGCATGGGTTTGGGGTTGGGAATGGGATGGGTTTGGGGCCAGGATATGGGCTGGGTTTGGAGCTCTGTCCCCAGCAGGTCAGGGGTTCGCGCAGGCTGCTCCAGGTGGGCCCCAAGGCAGGGGGGAGTTAAACCAGGCTGGGGAGGTGCCAGAGGGACCTGCTGGGGGTCACACCCTGCGGGGGGAGGCTGCTAAAACCAGCAGGGCATCCACATGAAGGAGCCCAGGGCAGCGCCGGTGGCGGCCCCCGCCAGCAGCCCCAGCGCCATCTGGTCCCCAGAGACCCGGTAGGGATCCTCGCGCACGATGACGTGGGTCACCCCCGGAGCTGCAAGGCAAGAGGGGGACATCACCCCACCGGCCCTCCCCATGGTGCCACTGGGGTGGGGATGGGGATGGGGAGGCCCCGTTCTGGGCCACCCCAATGAAGCCTCAATGGGAGGCTATGGTGGGATGGGGATGGGGGTACCCACCTCCGTGCTGGGGGCCGTAGTGGCCGGAGCTGATGTAGGCGGCCTGGTGGGAGTCGAGGGGCACGGTCTGGTAGTAGTCATCATCATAGGGGTCATAGACGTGAACCTGGAGAGGGGAATGAGGGGTAGGGGGGCCTCTGCCCCTGTCACTGCCTCAGTTTCCCCCATCAGTGTGTGTGTGGGGTCCTGAACTGGGGCCCTGGAGCATCTGAAATGGCTCAGGCACCTGAATCACTTGTGTGGGTGCCTGGCACCTTAACCCTGCACCTGGCACCTTAACCCTGCATCTGGTACCTTAACCCTGCCCCTGGTACCTTAACCCTGCCCCTGGCACCTTAACCCTGCTCCTGGTACCTTAACCCTGCCCCTGACACCTTAACCCTGCCCCTGGCACCTTAACCCTGCCCCTGGTACCTTAACCCTGCCCCTGACACCTTAACCCTGCCCCTTACACCTTAACCTTGCTCCTGGTACCTTAACCCTGCCTCCATCGGCTTAACCCTGCCTCTGGCACCTTAACCCTGCCCCTGGCACCTTAACCCTGCCTCCATTGGCTTAACCCTGCCCCTGGCACCTTAACCCTGCCCCTGGTACCTTAACCCTGCCCCTGGCACCTTAACCCTGCCCCTGGTACCTTAACCCTGCCTCCGTCTGCTTAACCCTGCCCCTGGTACCTTAACCCTGCCCCTGACACCTTAACCCTGCTCCTGGTACCTTAACCCTGCCCCTGGTACCTTAACCCTGCCCCTGACACCTTAACCCTGCTCCTGGTACCTTAACCCTGCCCCTGGTACCTTAACCCTGCCCCTGACACCTTAACCCTGCTCCTGGTACCTTAACCCTGCCCCTGGTACCTTAACCCTGCCTCCATCGGCTTAACCCTGCCTCTGGCACCTTAACCCTGCCCCTGGTACCTTAACCCTGCCTCTGGCACCTTAACCCTGCCCCTGGCACCTTAACCCTGCTCCTTACACCTTAACCCTGCCCCTGGAACCTTAACCCTGCCTCCATTGGCTTAACCCTACCCCTGGCACTTTAAATCCTGTCCCTATCCCCTTCGCTGTATCTCCCAGCACCTTGTGTCCCCATGAGCCTGTGCCCCCATTCCCTTAACTCTGCTCCCATTCCTGTAGCTCTGCCCCATCCCCTACCCCTCCCCTGTCACCTCAGCTGTGCCCCCTCAGCACTCTGTGTCCCCACACCCCTCTGGGCCTGCTGTCCCTGTAGCTTTGCCCCCATTCCCCTTAACCCTGCCCCTGTCCCCTTGCGTTGTGCCCTGTTTGTCACCTTGTCCCTGCACATCACCCCTGAGCATCTTAAGGAGGCCAAGGTCACCAGTGCTGCCACCTGCTTTTCCTGCCTGGCTCTGTGGGATTCCCTGAGGATGCCCCACAGGCACAGGGGCTCGGGGAGGGGATGCTGGGATTGGCTGGGATCCTCTCCCACATCCTGCCCGGAGCCCAGGCTGGGATGGAGCCTCACCGGGGTGGATTTAGCCTCCAGCACGGCCATCTTCCAGGCACTGTGAATGGAACAGAGGGGCTGGGGTTAGAATGAGAGAACAGGATCACAGTGGGGTTTGGGTTGGAAAGGACCTCAGAGCTCATCCAGTCCCAGCAGCTTCTTCCTTATCTCCAACCTGAACTCCCCCTGTTTCAGTCTGAACCCATCACCCCTTGTCCCATCACTGCAGTCCCTAATGAAGAGTCTATCCCCAGCATCCCTATAGCCCCCTTCACACGCTGGAAGCTGCTCTGAGGTCTCCCCACTACCCAACACCACGGGGATGGGCACAGGGTTAAACCCTGTCCCTGGAACAAGGGCAGGTGGGAATGTGACACCTAAATTGAGGGGAAAAGTGGGAAATGGATGATTTTCCATTCAACTGGGATCAAGCTCAATTGATTAAGCTCAGCTTGGCCACAGCTGAACATCTCCCTCTATCTAAGTTCAGCTGAAAGCTTCCTCCTTTATTTTCTGTATTTTCATATATAAATTTAAATCTATTTTTATCAAAAACGCTTCATTTGTATAGAAATGAATAGAAATGAAGCTTTGTAGACAGGAATGGAAGGGGAACGGTGCTAAAAGTAGCTCTTTCCCCCTCCTGGGCACAGCCTGCAGCCCATGAGGACATCACATTCACACTGTTGATCACCAAATGCCAATGAAACCCCCTCCCCAGTGATCCTCAACCTGGCCAAGAGGTGACTGCTGATCCATGAGGAAAACCCACTCTGCAGGAGGCCAAGGGCTTCACAATACCCAGCGTGGCTCTAAGTCATTCAGTGGGAAACCCAACAGCCCCCAGTCTGTGCCCATTGCCCTGTCAGTGAATGTGGATGTGCGAGAGAACAGGGGCTCGTGTGGATTCACCCCTGGGGTGGGATTGGGATGGGGCCCTTTCCATGCTTGGATTGAAGGGATGAAAGATTGGATATGGTCCAGCTTTAGTGTGCTTGAGCCCAGAACCCCCCCCTGTGCTGGGCTGCACCCCCAGAGCGTGAGCAGCAGCTCAGGGAGGGGATCCTGCCCCTCTGCTGTGTGAAGGGGAGACCTTAGAGCAGCTCCAGTGCCTAAAGGGGCTGCAGGAAAGCTGGAGAGGGGCTTGGGACAAGGGCCTGTAGGGCCAGGCCAAGGGGAATGGCTTGAACCTGCCCGAGGGGAGACTGAGCTGAGCTCTTAGGCAGAAGCTCTTCCCTGTGAGGGTGCTGAGGCGCTGGCACATGGTGCCCAGAGAAGCTGTGGCTGCCCCATCCCTGGCAGTGCTCAAGGCCAGGTTGGACACAGGGGCTTGGAGCAAGCTGCTCCAGTGGAAGGGGTCCCTGCCCATGGCAGTGGGTTTGGAACTGGAGGAGCTTTCAGGTCCCTTCAGCCCACACCAGTCTGTGACTCTGACTCCGATGCCAAAGCCACTGAAGGGGTTTCAGTGCTTACACAGCATCGTCCTCGCTCTCTGCGCACAGCGTGGTCTTGGAGCCGTCCCGCAGCACAACCATCAGGAGGCAGTCGCGGCTCTTCCCCTCGGGCGGCTGCACGTCTGGAAAGGGACGGGGCAGGATCCAGCCTCAGTGATAAGAGAGGTACCCAAGTCCCTCCCCATCCACCCCTCGGGAGAGGCCGGGCTCCAAATCACCCCTCTGTGTGCTGCTAAAGGTTGGAACCATTCTGGACCACCCTTATAACTCGGGTTTAATTCAGGCTCCAGCTCCACTTGCAAGGCAATCTCAAAGTGATTGTGATCCCAGCTGGGATCTCAATGGTTAAAAGCCAACAGGAGCTCAGAGCTGACAAGCAGAAACCTCCACCCCCATAGCAGAAAGCAAATGGAAATGCAGATAATTGCCCCAAATCGGAGGCCAGGAGGCTGAGCTGTGCTCCCTCTGAGTGTGCAAGCATCCCAATTGCATAGAACTATGAGGTTTCTTCGTCTTCCCCCATTCCCAAAGCTCAGTGGGACCCTCTGGAGAGTGGGACCCTTTGGGTGCCTGCTCCCAGTGCTGCATCCCAGAGCTGCCACTGCCACTCACAGCCCATGAAAGGCGCTTTGTGAGCAGGCTGTGGGCTGCTGAGGCTGAGCTGAGCTGCTGCTTTGTTCTGCTTGTTTGTGCTAGACAGCGATGGGAGGGCTGTGGGATGGTGCTCAGAACAGGCACAAACCAGGAGGAGAGGTTCCCTTTCCTTCCTTCCTTCCTTCCTTCTTCTTCTTCTTCACTAGGATGAAGCTCTTCCTTGGGAGGGTGCTGAGATGCCCAAAGAAGCTGTGGCTGCCCCATCCCTGGCAGTGCTCAAGGCCAGGTTGGACACAGGGGCTTGGAGCAAGCTGCTCCAGTGGAAGGGGTCCCTGCTCATGGCATGGGTTGGAGCTGGAGGAGCTTTAAGGTCCCTTCCACCCAACCCATTCCATGATTCCCCATGGAAACACAACAGAAGATGCAATGTGCATCTTTCTGGTGCTGGCTGGGAGCTAGCAAGGGGCGAATGAGGCAGCCTGGATTGTTAGGACGTGTGCAAGTACAATCAGAGCATCATTTAAATGGTTGCAGCTCCACGGAGACCCCTCCATGGGGTGGGTTTGAGGACCTTGGGTCTCTGCTCACCCCTGCACTCCCGGCCGGTCCTCACGTCCCTGCAGCTGTACTTGATGTGGATCCGTCCGTCCATGTCACGCTGTGTCTCATCATGGTAGTACACCAAGCTGCCATCCAGGTACAGCACGAACCAGTTCCTCTTCCAGCGGCGCAGGATGGAGCCTGGAGGGATGGGGAATCATAGAATAGCTTGGGCTGGAAGGGACCTTCAAAGGTCCTCTAGTCCAAACCCCCTGCAATGAGCAGGGACATCTTGAACTAGATCAAGCTGAACAGCACCGGTCCCAATACCAGTCCCTGAGGCTTCCACTCGGACACTGACCATTGACCACAACTCTCTGAGTGTGGCCATATATAAAAGTTATGGCATTTGGATGTTTAATACAAATAAAACAGGCTTTCAAGAGGGTACAATAGCAAATATTTGAAGAGCATAGGACAAACTCACTACCACCTACATGCCTCCTTAGTATTTTGCACTAGTTGAATTCAGTAATGTCTCAAGTTGATGCAACCTCTTTTTAAAGGCATCTCAGGTTACCCTATTGAATCGTGTAGCACTCCACTGGGTTAGGCAGCTGAAAAAACTGTAGGAAGACTTCACTGAACCAAGATATTCCCCTCTCCAGCACCTCTAAACAGGGGGATAAGAGGGAAAAGACCCCCGTGAGGCCCAACACCATCCCCTTCATCTGCGGTTGGATGCCAGCACCCCATCCAAGAGCCGCTGCATCCCGCAGGACACCCATCCCTGGCACCAGGAGCTGGGGCAGTGTGACCAGGTGGCTTTAAGTGAGATGGGGCTGCCAGGAAGAGCCATCAGGATGTCCTGGTGCTGCCCCACTGTGTGCGGGAGCAGATCCAGCCCTGGCCATGGAGCTGAGCATCTGTTTGCATGGCAGACGGCCCCGCTCTGCGCTTACATAAACCCCCAGGCGGCTGAGCCATGATTCCCTCGCTGCTGTGGATTAAGCACCAGGGATGGGGGGTGTTGTCCCCCCCCTACATCCTTCCTCCTGGCATTCCATAGCCCAAACCTCTCCAGGTGTTACATGGGGGGCTCCCAACATGGGATGCTCAAGGGTTGTACTCACTCTGCCGCCAAAGCCAACCGCTCTTCACCAGCGCCATGGCTGCGGGAGGAGTTTCCGGACCTGCTGCTATAGGAGAAATAATGGGGTTAGAACAGCAGCTCCCTGTTCAGCTCCAGCTCCTTTCCCTTCTTTCCCCTCCCCACAGCTCCATGGTGCTCCTGGGTTTTGGGGGGGGATGAGCTGTGCCATGGGTTAATCGGGGTTAGGGACAGACGTGGGATTTCATCCTGCGGGAGATGTGTGTGTGGGGGGGAGGAACTCCAGCACCTTTCTCTCTGTCATTAATCTCATTGGGATTTAGGGATTATCATCCCGTGGAGGTAAAGGGGGAAATCCAGGCCATGTATGAAACAGGCTGCAACTCCCCACAGCCCCAGTAACTTTCCATGGCAAACCATGGCCCCGGGTCCCCAAGCAGAGCCAGCACCCCAGGGTGCTGTCCCCTGGACATGGCACCCATAAACCAGGGACCCCAGCACCCTGGCATCCCAGGATCGATCCAGCACTGCCTGGCTGGGTCCCCTCCTGGTTTAGGGCGCACAACAAGGCTCAGACATCCCCCCCCCCCCACCAAGTGCCTCTGTACCTGTGTTACCCAGCACCCAGCTCCTTGGATACACATGTTCCCCTGGCATCCTCAGCCCTGGTACCTGCATCTCATATGCCCCTGGTACCCATGTCCTCCCAAAATTATGGCCTCTGGGTACCCCCATCCCCTGGCACCATCACCCTCCTGTCCTCACACCCCCCAGGTACCCCATCCCTTGGTATCCCCATCCCTCAGCACCCACATTCCCCTGGCACCTGCATCCCCCTGTATTTGCAGATATGGTATCCCCATTTAGTGCCCTTATCCCACATCCCCATGTCCCACATCCCCTGGTACCCATATCCCCTTGTCCCACATCCCGTGGTACCCACATCCCCTGGTACCCCCCTGCCTTATACCCACGTTTTGGGCGACCCCCTTTCTCCATCCCTCTGGTACTCCCCGGTACCCTCACTCCCCAAGTACCCCCATCCCGGTACCCCCATCCCCGTACCCCCCATCCCTTTCCCCACCGTTCCCAGTGCTCGCCCGGGACCCCCCCAGCCCCGGATCCTCACCGGGAGGAAGCGGCTCGGCAGCTCCCGTTGCGGGCAGCGCTGCGCTGAGCTCCGCTCCCGCTGCCCGGCGCTGCCCGCCCGCACTGCGCGCCGGGAGCTGTAGTCCGGTACCGGCAGAGGCGGTGGAAGCATCCCCAGGTGCCGGCCAGAGGGAAATGGCGCTTTTCACCCATTCATCCCCAAAAAGCGATGCCCCGTGCACCCGCGGCCGGGCTGGTGATGGCCCCGGTTGGTGCAGACCTGACCCGCTGAGGATGCAGCGCCTCCAAGCCCCCTGAGCCCCCCTTTTCCTCCGGAGATGGAGCGCGGTTGGGAGAAGCCGAGGGATGAAGCGGGACTATGGGGGCTGCAATTAAGCCACACGGTGGAGGCAGAAGCTTTGGGAGGGCTCAGCCCAAACAGGAGCCCCAGAGCCATGCACGGGGAGGTGAAGGGGTGCCATGGGGTTTCCTGCTCCACACAGGAGAGGGACCAGGGATATGAGATGCTTGGGGGATACAGGATCAGGTTGGACACAGGGGCTTGGAGCAAGCTGCTCCAGTGGAAGGGGTCCCTGTCCGTGGTAGGGGTTGGAGCTGGAGGAGCTCTAAGGTCCCGTCCAATGCAAACCAGTCTCTGATTCCATGACCCTCAGGTGGTGCTGGGAGCAGTTCTGAGGAGCTGTTTAATATCCCAATGGGCTCTTGCTGGATCTAGCATCAGGAGTGTATCACTGGCAGGAGTATAAATAAGGAACAACCCCAATTTTAACCAGGTAAATGCTCACCTGACCTGAGTTTCTGAGTGGAGTGAGTTTTCCTTTGGGATCAAATCAAGCTTTGACCTGGCTCCTGCTGGAGTTAAAAGCAAAACTACCCCTGGCTGTGGACATGGATGGGCTCATGTCACACGTGCTCAAAGGACACAGGGCTGGAAAAGTGGCTGGAGCTGTGGCTGCACATGACAGGAACCCTTCACCCTGACAGAGATGGGTAAACCTGCTCGGAGAGAAACCAAGGGGAAGTTAGGAGTGGAGGAGAGCCTGGGATACATCCCTGTGTCTGCTGCCAGCCTCAGGCAGATCTGGAAGTCACAGCCTGGGAGGAAAACACAAGAGTGAATTATCCAGGGACATCAAGAGCCAAGAACCATCCATCCCCTCGTATCCACTGCTCTTCTTCCACCAAATGAAGAAGTGTGAGCATTGCATCAAAGGAAGTGATTCTGTATCTCTGCTCTGCTGAGACCCCACTTGCAGCACTGTGTGCAGTTCTGGGGTCCTCAACATCAGAAGGACATGGAGCTGTTGGAGCACGTCCAGAGGAGGCCAAGAGGATGCTCAGGGGCTGGAGCAGCTCCTGTATGGAGCCAGGCTGAGAACATTGGGGCTGTTGAGCCTGGAGAAGAGAAGCTGCGTGGAGACCTCAGAGCAGCTTCCAGTGTGTGAAGGGGGCCTATAGGGATGCTGGGGAGGGACTCTTCATCGGGGACTGCAGTGATAGGACAAGGGGTGATGGGTTCAGACTGAAACAGGGGAAGTTCAGGTTGGAGATAAGGCAGAAGCTCTTCCCTGTGAGGGTGCTGAGGCGCTGGCACAGGGTGCCCAGAGAAGCTGTGGCTGCCCCATCCCTGGCAGTGCTCAAGGCCAGGTTGGACACAGGGGCTTGGAGCAAGCTGCTCCAGTGGAAGGGGTCCCTGCCTGTGGCAGGGGTTGGAGCTGGAGGAGCTTTAAGGTCCCTTCCAACCCAAACCGGTCTGTGATTCTATGATTCTATGAAAATAAGGGCCAGCAAGGCACAGCTATTTTAGAGCTCTCCATACACAGATGTGGGGCACGCAGAGGGCACTGTGCAGCACTGTGCATTGTTCCCATTGAGATAAACCTGAGGTGGGAGCCCAGAGCCTCTCTCAAAGCTGTTTTTGCTGCGCAGGGAAGGAAATGGCACATTTCCCACAGATCCACATGAGCACCGGAACCAGTCAGGGCTGAGACAACTTTGGGAGCTGGTGCTGGCTGGTGTTACACTGCTTAAAGTACACCTCAGGTTATTTATAGCATATGGCAGCAGAGAAGCTGTGGCTGCCCCATCCCTGGCAGTGCTCAAGGCCAGGTTGGACACAGGGGCTTGGAGCAAGCTGCTCCAGTGGAAGGGGTCCCTGCCCGTGGCAGGGGTTGGAGCTGGAGGAGCTTCAAGGTCCCTTCAGCCCAAACCAGCCTAAGATTCTACAGTCTGTGAATTAAATTCCCCCAGCTGCACACAGATTGATTACACAGGAGTTAAGCTGCAAGTACCCATCAGTCAGGGCACACTCACACAGCTCTGTGCATCCCTCCACACTCGTTATCAAGCTACAGAACATCCTAAACATTTCAGAGCCACACATTTTGCAGTCAGGGGCCAGGGCACAGAGTTTGTTCTGCAATGAGGTAATATTAAAGTTCCCTTAGGAAAGGATTTGGGCTGAAATTTGGGTTACTCACTGGTATCGGGCCTCCCCTCTGCAGGTAGATGCATGCCATAGTTCGGTACAAATCGTTCTTGAAGCTTTTCTGCCACCTTGTCATGAGCTCTGCCACAGGACCTGCATAATTTGTCTCCTTGGCAGCAAAAGGACACACTGCAGAGGGGAAGAAAGAGATGCTCTGTTCCAAACAGCAGCACATTTTCATGGGGTGGAAAACCTACAGCTCTGCACTAATGGGTTCTGCTTGGCTGCAGCCCTTGGTTGCTTGCAGAGAAGACACTGAGCTTAGGACAAGGAGGAGAGGAGGGAAACAGCAGCTACTGCAATAAAAGAGCAGAAATAAACCCACCAGGGAACAAACACTGAGGCAGCCACGTGCTTCTGAGGGACAGGGTGGAATGGAGGTGCTGGGCATTGCAAACCAAAGCAGTAAAGCATCGCAGCATCACTCTGCTTTCCTCTGGAGGAGACAACGGTGGGATCTGGGACTTGGTTTATTTATGTTGTGTAAACTGGGGTTTTTGGGGAGTTAGATGGGAGATATTTGGGGCTCACCGGGGGAAAATGGTGAGCTGCAGACGTAGGAGGTTATTTCCAGCTAGCAAAGCTGTGCAAGTGGGAGAAGGCAGAGGATGCAACATGGGAACAGGCTCAGCTCCTCACCTGGGGGAGCCAAATCATGGGTTTCCCAGTGTTTACTTGGAACCATAGAATCCCAGCCTGGTTTGGGGTGAAGGGACCTTAAAGCTCCTCCAGCTCCCTGCCATGAGCAGGGACCCCTTCCACTGGAGCAGCTTGCTCCAAGCCCCTGTGTCCAACCTGGCCTTGAGCACTACCAGGGATGGGGCAGCCACAGCTTCTCTGGGCAGCTCCCACAGCAACTGGGTGCTGCTCAGCAAGAGATGGAGTTGAAACTTCCACCTTGGTTTTCTTCCAGCCGGGCTCTGTCCTTGTCTCACCCAGGTGGCTGCCATAGGAAGGAGCTGTCACCAAGCAGCGGTGGAGAACTTTGGTTGTAGCCAAAGCTTTGGGTTTTGTGTAGGAAACCAAGGAATTTGGGAAGTCTTCCCACGTCTCACATGATGCAGGACGCTGGTGGGGCTCCCCTCTGTCCTTTTGCTGTGGAGGCAGATGGGTGAAGCCCTAGGGGTTCAGATGCTTCAATCTGGGGTGAGCTGCAGGTGAGGACATGCCATCAACTGCTCTTTCTCTTACTAATACACGTTTGCTGGTGGGACAGCTTGGTACTTGGGTTGCAGGGGCGATACACCACCAATGTGGGCTGCTAAAGAGACCCCAGATCGTGCTGGAAGTTTCCCTTACTGTACAACATTGGCCATCATAGAATGGTTTGGGTTGGAAAGGACCTGAAGATCAGCCAGTTCCAACCCCCTGCCATGGGCATGGATGTGGATTATTTGACATGGTTTTCACAACAACCTCTTCCTATCAGTATGTCAAGCAGTGAGGAATGAAGTGAGCAGCTCGGGTACAGCCTTTGCTAACCCTGGGACCCTCCTGTACCAACTCGCTGGTTCCCCGGGGGGTGCTCCCATTGCTTGGGAAACAAGAGTGAACCTTGATGAAAAGCAACTGGCTTCAAAGGGCACCAAGTGTTGTGAGGGAGTGAGGAGGGGACATGGGATAGAATCAGTGAGGTTGGGAAAGCCCTTTAAAATCTCATCCAGTGCAACTGGTCCCATCAGTGCCAAGGCCACCACTGCCCCGTGGCACTGAGGCCTCATCTCCATGGGGTGTGAACCCTTGCAGGGCCGGTGCCTGCAGCCCTGCCCTGGGCAGCCTGTTCCAATGCCTGAGCACCCTCTGGGGCAGGAATTGCTCCTCAGCTCCATCTAAACCTGCCCTGGTGCAGCTTGAGGCCGGTTCCTCTTGTCCCATCCCTTGTTCCTTGGGAGCAGAGCCCAGCCCCTCCTGGCTCCATCCTCCTCTCAGGCACTTGGAGGCAGCCATCAGGTCCCCCCTGAGCCTTCTCTTCTCCATCTGAACCCCCCAGGTCCCTCAGCCCTTCCCCATCACACTTGGGCTCCAGGCCCTGCACCAGCTCCATTCCCTTCTCTGGCCCCGCTCCAGCCCCTCAATGTCTCTCTTGCAGTGAGGGGCCCAGTGCTGAGCACAGGATCCGAGGTGCAGCGCCCGATGGGGTCAGTCCCTGGGTGAATCCCATTGCAGTTCTTCCTCCCAGACACCAGCACTTCCCAGAAACACTCATTTCTCTCCCCAAACCGGGGCACTGAGCTGCGGGGACGCAGTTTGCACCCCCCTTGGAGCTGTGTGCACCCGCAGGTGCTGCTCAACCCTCCGGAAAGCTCCATTTGGGTTTATCACACCTGTGATAAATGTTCCTAAATTAAAACGTACACCACTCGTTCGTGCTCCCAGAGAAGGGCCCTTTCCCGTCCCCCCGGCCTATGGGGGCCAGCAGCCCTTTCCCCAAGCACTGAGGGGGTTTTTCCCCTCCCCGAACGTTGGACGAGGGCTTTGGCAGGGAAATTGGGGTTCTTTTAGGACGAGGGCCGGTTTGGGGTGCGGGGAGAGGAACGGGGCCTGGCCCCGCTGTGAGGAGCAGGCCGGGCTGGGGGGGGAAGGCCTGGCCCCGAGGCCGCGCATCCCGCCGTGGACACGGCT